TGGTAATAACATACCGGTACCTAAAAAGGATTTGTCTACATCAATAACCCACTTCTTGTTTTATGGCCAAAATTAAACTGATTGAATCTTTGCGCAGCATAAAACGTACGACCATGCGGTACAATGGTCTGAAAATCAAGACTATTACTTATTGGCTCTATAGCTCCTAAGTCGATTTGACAAGTAATAGTCATTATTTTCCCACTTAAAGACATTTTCAAGCCCCATTTTTTTAAAGGGGTGTTCTAACTTAGTATTATCTTTCAAATGCCATTGGAATTTACCCTTTTCATTTTTTGGGCCTGCAAAAGGGACATAGTACCTTTAATAGTTGTTTTAATGATCATTATAATGCTAATGATGATTATAATAATAATGATAATAATATCAATAATAATACAAAATAACAATAATAATAACAATTATAATAATAGAATAACAATGATAATAGTTTTATATGTCTTTCCTATTTTATTGTTGTACTTTCACGACTATTCCTCGTCACTGTTGAAATTAATCTATTATTCTAAATCTCAATTCATAATGTGAACAAATCTTAATAAACAAATTGTCAATGCCTGAATTGGAATACCTGACTATATATTTGAATCATAATGGTTCATGCAGCAGTTCTACATTAATTTCCTATTTTTCCTCCTGACTTTTCCTATTTTCCCTTCTATATTTAATATGTCTAACCCGGATGTCTAATCTGTCCTTTTCATTTCTCTGTTGACGTTGATCCCATGCATGGTTGATCCTCGAAACACGCGGATTAGTCCTCCTATCGTGGGAAGTCCAATCAGGCCTACAGCTTGATCGACCATGCATATCGGACTGATAGAGCAGTGAACTCTCCGTGATTAAAAGCTAATATTGATTTTAATATTCAATGTTATTTGTATTTGCATAGAACTGTATTTCATTGAATCAAATATTATAAAATGCTTTGATCTTGTGCATCATGCGTGCAAATCATATATCTATGCAAAGCATTGTCACCAAACCATCACTCTCCTCGCCGCCTGATTCGAGAACAGTTCGGTCGTGTTTGCAAAACTGTGATTGCGGTATAGATTACTATCTGTTATATAAAGTCATGATGAATAGCTGCGTGGAAGCTTAGTTTCCATCATTTAAAGCTGCAATTTCTTCACAGAGTAAAGGTAAGATATCATCAGAGGTGGAATGTTGGTAACCTGTTCAGTCACCTTTTAACTCACCACGATACTTATTTCATGCATGCATATGCAAACTTTTGGTTCACCCGATAGGAATACTTGCACTTTATTCCACAAAGGGGCTAAATCCTCCTGCTTTAGAGGTATTGTGGTCTAGTGCACAAGTCACCCGACTGCAGATCACAAGGTGCGGGGTTCGGGTCCCGCCGCATTACTAATGTCCTTTGGCAAGACGTTAATCTACATTTTCTACTCTCCACCCAGGTGGTAAGTCGGTACCCTGTAGGATGCGAAAGTTAATGTGGTTATATGAGCAAGTGTGCGCCAGTGCCTTAAAAGGACGTCACATTGCCTTAAAAGGATGTTACACGTGGCAGTCCACGTTCTCGTCTAATAGAGAGTTTTAGGTTTGCACGTTGACATAGGACTGTTACGTGTGGCGTCCTTTTAAGACACTGCCTAAAAGGACGGCACACTTGGACCAATTGGCCCAATTGGCCTAGGCCCCATTGGACTTTAATGGGACCTCAATTGGTTTCAATTGGACCAGTTGGCCTTAAGTTGGACTTCAATTGGTCCAATTGAAACCAATTGAAAACCTTTTAAAGTCTAATGGGGCCGATTGGTCCAATTGAAATCCCATTAAAATCTAATGGGGCCAATAGAAACCAATAAGGCAATAGGACCAATAGAAACCAATTAAGACCGATAGAAACCAATAGGACCGATAGGACCAATAGAAACCGATAAGACCAATGGAACCCAATGGGACCAAAAGAAACCAATAGAAACCAACAGATCTATGTATCTCATGCATATTCATTATTACTTTACACGTGTCACAGAAAGATACATTTATCATGATTTGTTAAACAAATTATGACAATGCACATCAATTTTGTGATTTCTATTTTACTTCGACAATTATTGACTGATAGATTATTTGTCTGATCATGTTACAATTATACATTCACGTTTAAGCTATAGATATATTGATTATATGATTACTAACCACAAAACAACATTATGTATTATAGTGTGTACGAGACTATACCTGTTCAAAAGTTAATCTTACATTCACTTCAAATGATATATGTGATGGAGTTAATGCAATTGAGATTAGAATATACCTAATTGGTGGACAGTTGCCAATATCGATTATGAATTATCAGTTTATCACTGGTTCTTCTACCTTGATCGATTTACCAATTGAATCCCCATTGAATCCCAATCGAATACCAATTGGCAGTTGGTTTCAATGGGGACCAATAGTGCCAATTGGTTTCAATAGCCATTGTTTCACTTTCCATGTACTCCGAATTGCCAATTGGTATTCAATTAGGGTTCAATGGGGACATTCAATGGGGATTCAATTGGATTTTCGTTTTGGGTAAAAGTCCCAACTCAAAGATGACAGTGCCCGGTCTGCATCTGAGGGCTAGAAAATTAGAACTATTTTGAAAAAGTAGCCTTTTTTCTTGAAAATGGCCCAAAATGGACCTTTTTGAAACCCTTAATGCGGCACCGCACGGACCGCGTCCAATCTAGAAAACAACCCCTTTATAGTAACCCTCTTCCTCTTCAAACAAATACAGTGATAGGAAAAATAACACATCAAATCTACTAAATAAACAGTTTAGACCACGGGTGGCCAACCCGCGGCCCGCGTGCCGCATGCGGCCCGCGAGCTCTTCTAGATCTGGTGCGGCCCGCGGAGCAGTGAAAAAATACTTATAAAAAAAACATCATAAATGAAATGCGGCCGCCCCGGCCCCCCCCCCCCCCACTCAGTGTTATTTAGGGTACGCATATGCTCGTACCCTCTTTTTGAAAGCACCCCCTATCTGAGGACTGCCAACATTTCCGAACCCCCCTTTCTCGGGCTTTTCGCGGGCTTTTCGCGGGCTTTTCCTGCCTTGGAGACCCCCCTAAATCAGGAAAAATGCTTAATGTACCCCCCTAAATTCGGAATAACTTCTCAGGAGTCCAAAGAGATGAGAGAAAAAAAGATACAACACCCCTTTTTCAAGAAATCTCCGGGTGAAAAGTCAAATACACCCCTTTTTTTACAATTCTCGGGCCGGACTTTGTCGCACGAAAAGTACCCCTTTACCGGACATTTTGGCAACACGCATGCGGTCATTCCGACCTCTGAGTGGGGGGGGGGGGGGGCCGGGGCGGCCGCATATAGCAGCGATGAAATAGGGTAAAACATTTACACGCAGCTATCTCTAATATTTCCATAATTTGTTTTCATCATTCATAACATATTGACTCGTTACTTGGTGATACACTGACTCCTCAAATTCCCTCCCATTACATTATACTAACGACATTAATACCCGCATTAATATCACTCGCCGTGTAAATTTCAGTTTGTAATTTCCGCACCCAGTAACAACTGTTGTGAATCGAGAAATAATGTTTGGAATGCCATACTTGTCTTCAAACTTACAACTCTTTTCTCCCGCCGTAGAATTTTCTCATGAATCTTAATCGTAAACTAAATAGTCAGTCCCTTTCCCTCTACACCGCGTTCAATTAGATGTACAGTGTACAAGTAATACATTTAGGATATTCTTTCTGCTGTGTCCTTGATTTTGATTGAAATAACAACCAACATGGCAACGACTTCGAGACCTGCGAAGAAAAGGAGAGTTTCTGATGAAGGCAGAAACTTTAAATCAGATTGGTCTCTAAAGTACTTCTTCATAGAAGAGAAAGGTGAACCACTTTGCCTCAATTTTCACCAGAGTGTGAATGTAATGGAGGTTAACAACATAGTAGAAAGGTGCAAGCCCCAAAAATCACACTAAAAATAAGCCTGATTTGTTTTTCTCACTGATTTTGTTGTTTGCTTGTTTGTTTTTGCAAAATGTCAGGTGTGTACACGTATTGCATGAATGTGTGTGTGTGGGGGGGGGGGGGAGAGAAGACTTTCTATGGCCCGCCAAGTTATGCCAATCGTTAGGTGTGGCCCCCGAGCTTTAAAAGGTTGGCCATCCGTGGTTTAGACGAACAGTCTTTTAATTGTACTTGTATGGTTAATTCCATTATGTGTGCAGTGTGCACAAGCCTCGATAAATGATTATGTTAACACAGAATCGTCGTATTTTAAAACTACAAAGTTTTCAAAACCTCGGAGTTTTAAACAACGACCTGATATCAAGAATTGATTTCGTGATATCAAGAAATATGTTTTAATGATAAAACGGCTTGCCATAAGCTCGCGCCAGCTCGCCACAACTTGAGGCTCCAACTCGGCTAATTGGGAGCCCTGCTTAAGGATACGTAAAAGGAGAGGCAAAATTTTTGACATGTCAAAAATCTTCTTACGATTGTCCACGGATTGATTTTTCCGTAAATAGCTCGTAAATAGCTCGGATGCTCGGATGCTTGCAATTGACTACAAGTTGGCGATTCGTAATGACTCGTAAGAAAAATCAATATCTGCTGCTGCTGTTCTAATTAGATATATTTTATTAAATGCTGATAAGGTTTTTTTAAAGCAGATCTCGACCTATTCAGACAAGCTGGATTAAAAGATTATCTATCCGTTTCCCCACGCCTTTGGAATAAACTCTGCATTTCTAAGAAAAACTCCCTCTAATGATAACTTCAGAAAACATGTGAAAACATACCTCAACAATTTATTCTTCTTAATTTTTGGAATGACTACGGAAAAGTGCCTTGTATCCTCTGGGAAATGTGCGATTTAAATTCGATTATAATTACAATAACAATTATTATTATAATCATTATCATTATTATCATAAATAGAAATATTTATATCTTATCAAATCATCAGTTTTTTTTTAATAATTTGAACCCCAGTGGCGTGGACGGAAAGAAAATGGAGAAGTGTTTCGTAAAACCCCACTCAGTTTTCCAGCTTCTTCTCATTCTTTGGATGACATCCCTCATCCACATTGCAGTTGGGGGTAAGTTACATGAAATAAACATATACCGGTGACGAATTTATCTGTTTATCAATGTTTATAGGCCTAGATTTTCACGAAAATTTAAATGTTCATCTATCACTGTTTATGTATTCCACGTGCACATGAATGACATGTAAAATAAAGAAATATTATACATTGGAGTAAAACAGGAGTAGTTTGAAGATTTTCGACAAAAAAACTTGCTATAATAACAAAAAAGGAGATCATGTTTTTTGTAATTTTTCGTTCGTTCTCCTGTAATTGGTGATGCTTTTAAAAAAAAGATAGAGTGTAAGAACCAACATTTGAGTACATATTGCATTTCATTAAACAAAATATAAAGAATAAGTGTAGTTATAATAAGAAGCAAGTAAATAATAACATTCATCATTCTCTTTATGGTTTAAGATTTCTTTCCTTGTTCGGGATCGAACATTAACGTGTCAGTGACGCTGGTTTGCAATGGATATTACGACTGTGACAATTATGAGGATGAATCCTCATGTAGTAAGTAACAGAATACCTCCGTCGTTTTGATACTGAAATTCCTTTTAACTACGTCCCCGTTTTCTGACGCATTATGTTCCGCCGCTGCATACTACCATATATATGATGATATAGAATACAACTTAGGCAAATTAGCAGAAATCGCAATTAACATATTCCCTAATGTGTTACCACAGGAGTTTGTTTCATTAAACTAGTTATTATTAACGAATTCCAAAATTCTACGACGTATTTGCTCTCGGCCAATTATACAACAGTTCTTGTAACTTGTTATTGATAACATGTTTCATGAATCAGGGCCAAGGTACACGAACACTGGATTGTTGGAATACGGATGCTGAAATAGGAAGCCATATATTTTGCATTCTCTTCTCCACTGTTTAATGAAATTTTGAAATACATTACTGTCTTACATTTTTACGGTAATTGTCTCCATGAGTTTAAAGACAGACTCATATTGTATGTCTCGTGGACTTTTCTTGTATATTTAAGTCACTGGGGTCATGGCTTTTGTGCTCACGGCTTATTAGGTTAAATCCCAATTGGTTCCAACAACTTGGTAAAAGCCAGAGACTGGTTTTGAACAGTCACCCATTTCACTCACAAGATTTGACCCCTCAAAAACCGTGTTAACACAGTGACTCGGCTCGGGGGTTCGACACGCGGGTCGAGCTCATCACGGCAATTTTATGTCATGTAAACGGGATCACTGTACGTGATCCGAGAGCCGTGCCAAACTCGCCTTTTTCGATCCGCCAGATTAACAGGTTTCAAGCCGCGTGGCGTGCTGAACACGTACACGGAATCACTGTGATGTAGGTTGACCTACGGACATGTTTGAGTGACAAATTTCCTGCATTGTGACGTCAATGTGATCCACGGGCCGTGTTGAACACGTCATTGTTTGTTTCCGTATGAACACGATCACAGCAGCGTAGCGTTAACCCTGCTTGAGGATCAACACTCGAGCCGAGCCACTGTCTAAACACGGTAATCGTTACAGATGTTATCTAACAAAAAAGTACCACGGTAACCATGATTTTTGTCCAAATCACCATCCACCATGGTAACTATGGTTATCATGGTACCAAATCGTCCCTATTTTCACGAAGTGACGGTAGTGAGGAAAATCGTAACGCAAAGTGAATGCAATTTTTTTTCACTACCGTCACTTCGTGAAAACAGCGACGAAATAATGAAATGCATTGTTTGATGACCCTATGTTTATCATTGTTTGATGACCCTATGTTTATCATTGTTTGATAACCATGGTTACCATGGCGGATGGTAATTTTGACCAAAAAACATGGTTACCATATGGTACTCTTTTATAGGTCGTTGATGAAAAATGTGTTATTCTGAAGTGAATGCAGCTATCGGGACACCCCCCCCCCCCCCTCCCACCCTATACCCCACAGTCAGGTCGAAACATGATGTCGTACGTCTGTTTATCAGGACAGGCGATTTTTTACATTTTTATAATGAACAGAGAATGTTTCGAATCAAAATTGTATCCATATGATCTAAGGGGGAAAATGTAAAATGCTTTGTAATGTCCGTTTATAACTTTTAGGAATCATCTAGAGATACGAAAGGTACTTGTATTTTTTTTTTAATTAATTTTTTCTTTCTTGTGTTGTGAAAATCTTTTTCTGCAGATTATTCAGCAACATATCTTCAGGAAGGCGAATCACATATCATCTCCTTATTACCAGACACCCGTCCAAGAGGATTGTATAACGCGACCTTGATACAAACAAACGCTACGAATGGATTCCAGGTTGTGTTCAAAGATTTGTTGCTCATTAATGATGATTTAGTCCAAATAGGGACTGGTAACGATCCGTCTGACATACAGTCTGTCATCGCAACTATCCATGGATATCGGTACCAAGCAAGTGATATCTATATAAATTCCAATGAGATGTGGTTTGCTGCCATAATAGGGTGGCAATACGGTAGGTACCGTGTGGATGTTGGTGTTACTGCCATTGATATGCTGAGTAAGTATATTTGCATCAGTCGGACTTTAATTTACTGTTCAATTTCTTGTGGCTTTTGTTACTAAAAAAATTACCCAAGATAATACAAGTGATATACAAATGCATTGATCAACCTGTTTTAATTAAGGTGTCCCCAGGTCGAAATTCCAATAGGATCCGATAGCCTATTGGACCATCAGAAACCATTAGAAAGTGGAATATTGGACCCACAGAAACCAATAGAAATATATATTGGACCAATACAAACCCACAGAAAAAAATGCTGATGGACCAACAGAAAGTTTCTATTGGACCAACATCCACCCACGTCTTCTATGGGTTTCTGTTGGTCAATTAGATATTTTCTTCTATGATGGATTTCTGTTGGTCCATTAGATATTTTCTATGGGTTCATGTTGGTCCATGAGAGATGTTTCTATGGGTTTCTAATTGTCCCATTTTCTGAATTCCCTATTGAAACCAATACGCCTATTGGTTTTTAATGGTTCAATAGTCCATTGGCTTCTATTGGTAAATCAATAATGATAAATCAAAAATTGATTTTAGCAACTGTCCACCAAAAATTATAATCCTAATCTAATTCTAATCCCCATTGCATTAACTCCATCACAAAGATCACTTGAAGTGAGTTTAAAGACCGTCAATACTACTGGGCCAGAAGAGATTAGACCACACAGCTAGGTCACTGACAGGTGGCTATCTCATTAACTCAGCTCTCAACTAACATAAGAAAAAGAGGATCATGGGGGACCAACAGGCACCGAATGAGGAAGTTTTCTATATAGAGGGAGCAAGTAGCTACAAGTAGGACAGTGGGGCTTTAAGAATATCCTTTATTTAACTAAAGGCTTATACTATTCTATATAATAAACATACATGTTGTTTCTTGGTTAGTGATCATTATAATCAATATATCTATTGCTAAAACGTGAATGTAATTGTAACATGATCAGACAAATAATCTATTAATTGTTCATTAATTGCTGAAAGAAAATAAAAATCACAAAATTGATGTGCATTGTCATAAGTTGCTTAACATATTATGATAAATGTATTTTTCTGTGAGAACGTGTTATTAAAGTAATCATGAATATGCATGAAATAGATTTAGATGTTGGTTTCTATTGGACCTATTGGTTTCTATGTTTCTTAATTCGATTGGTCATATTGGTTTTTATTGGTCCCATTGGGTTCTATTGGTCTCATTGGTTTTCTATTATTCCTATTTGTCATATTGGTCCTATTGGTCCTATTGGTTTTTATCGGTCTTATTGGTTTCTATTTGTCCTGTTGGTTCCTATTGGTCCTATCGGTCTAATTGGTCCTATTGGTTTCTATTGGTCTTATTGGTTTCTATTGGTCCTATTTGTTTCTATTGGTCCTATTGGCTTCTATTTCTATTGGTTTATATGGGTGCTATTGGTTTCTATTGGTTTCTGATGGTTTGAATGGTCTCTATTGGATTCAATTCTATGTGTCCAACAGAAACCAATAAGACTCCTAAAGAAACCACTAGAGACCAATATAATGTTTCTAATGGTCTATATTGGTCTCTATGGGATTTTCGACCTGGGTCGGCTTATTCTTCTTTACTTCCAATCATCTGTGCTCAAATGTTCTGCCAGGCTTCAATTTGCACACTGAAGAGCCTTATCATTTGCTGCCACTAGGTCTTCCAGGTAGCATTGGTCATCTAGGAGTGGGCGTCTTAATAAGTGTGACATAGATTGCACGGATGTTCCACACTCTCAGTCGGTGTCTTTGTCATCTGTGTATCCCCATTTATGCATGTTGTAATTTGCATTGCCCCACCCCTGTGCGAAGCCTTTTGAGGGACTTCCACGTCTTTCAGTCACATATATATCCAAGCAGCAGCTGTTCCGTGGTCGGGATCATGGTTGCTTTTCATGGTTGTGGTTTTCGCAACGTTTCTCTTAGTCCAGAATCTGGCCTATTTAATTTGGATCTCCACCACACCAACGCTACCTCCCCCTACTTACTTGCTACCAGCCAATGATGGCGTGATCATTAAATTGTTACGCCCGGCAAAAATTTCTAGGCCTCAGGCTCAGGCTGGGCTGGTAAACATAAGTATGAGTTTCTTGATAACGCCATCTTCGACGGCTTGAATCAAGTGTGTAGGGAATTATATAAGGACCGGGCAGATTCTGGACTACGTTTCTCTATCCACAAGATCACTCTGGTTGAATGAGGAGGTTGTGACAGTGGCTGGACTGTATGAAGGAAGCTCTTCCTTGACTTCAGGCGGGTAGGGGCCGGTTGATGAGAGTAAAGAGGGTGGCGTGTGTCCTCAACCTGTCTGCTTTATAGTTAGACAGTGACTTCGCTAGATATAATAGGACATGGAGAGTCGAAGCTGCCCGAATATTATAATTCCCCTCACTTTGACAAAAATGATCCAACAAGCGTTAGAAGAACGTGAACATCGCTGTAGATTAAGCACTACAATTCAACATTTGCCGCAATAAATCTCTAATAAACGGGTGTCCCACCTTATACCAATATCAACGGCCCTTTTTAACTGATATATTAAATCGGGTTTCCCTTCGTTAACAAGTATTATAACTATTACCCCGAAAGAGCATATGCAATAGTCTATGAGCAAGATCAATTGTAACTGAAAAGGTATCTGTTGATCTCAATTGTTATTTTAAAGGAACATAGATAAGGGTTTTTATTATTGAAAATGTATGTTTATAATCAGCAGTAAGTGAATACTCCTAAAACACGTCGTTCTTATTGTGTTTCAGATTTATTTCCTTGTTCGGGATCGAACATGAACGTGTCAGTGACGTTGGTTTGCGATGGGTATTACAACTGTGACAATTATGAGGATGAATCATCATGTAGTAAGTAACAGAATACCTCCGTCGTTATGATACTGAAATTCCTGTTGACTACGTCATCATGTTCTGACGCATTATGTTCCGCTGCCTACTACCATATACATATGATATAGATTACAACTTACTAATTTACCTAATAGGTAAATTAGCCGATATCTCAATTAGCATATCCCCTAATGAGTAACCACAGGGGCTTGTTTCATAAAACTTGGTATTATATAAAATAAAAAAATTCTAAAATTCTACGACAAATGTGTTTTCAGCCAATTAAATGCCACCATTTCAATACCTTTTAACAGTTCTTGTAACTTAAATTGTTATTGATAACATGTTTCATGAATCAGGGCATAGATACATGAACACTGAATTGTTAGAATACAGGTGCTAAAATATGATGCCATATAGCCTATTTCTCATTCTCTCACATTCTTCTCAACTGTTTAATGAAATTGTGATATTCATTACTTTGTTGCATTCGTGCGGTTAATTTTCTCCATTAAAAGAGAGGCAGACTCGTTTTGTATGTCTCGTGGAGTTTTTTTTTTTTTTTTTTTTTTTTTTTTGGGGGGGGGGGGTATATTTTATCCATAGGGGTCATGGCTTTTGTGCCCACGGCTTATTAGGGTATCCAAATTTTTTCCAACAACTTGGTAGAAGCCAAAGATTGGTCCTGAACAGTCACCCATTTCACTCACTAGATTTGACCCCTCAAAGTTACTGATGATATCTAGGTCATCGATTTAAAAAAAAAAAGTGCTTTAGTTTGAATGTAGTTGTCGGCAACCCCCCCCCCTCCCAACCCCAAAGTCGGGTCTAAGCACTAGATTTGGTCATTATGATGTCGTACGTCTGTATTTCAGGACGTTTTCGTAATAAACAGAGAATGCTTCGAATCAAAATTGTATCCATAGGATCTAAGGGGAAAATTGAGAAAAAAATGTCAGTTCATAACTGATTGGAATCATCTACAGATACGAATGTTACTTGTGTTTTTTTTTTTTCTTTCTTTTTTTTCTTGTGTCTTGAAAATCTATTCTTGCAGATTATTCAGCAACATTTCTTCAGGAAGGCGAATCTCATATCATCTCCTTACTATACACCCCTTCACATCGATTGTATAACGGAAGTGTGATACAAACAAATGCTACGAATGGATTCCAAGTTGTGTTCCAAGATTTGTATCTCAGCAGTTATCTTGATTTAGTCCAAATAGGGACTGGTAACGATCCGTCTGACATACATTCTGTCATCACAACTATCGATATATCATATTACGGAGATTATATTTATATAGATTCCAATGAAATGTGGGTTGCTGTCATAGGAGGGCTGCAATCCAGCCGTATTCGTATGGATGTTGGTGTTACTGCCCTTGATTTGCTGAGTGAGTATAATTTGCATCAGTCGGACTTTACTGTTCAATTCCTCGTGGCTTTTGTTACTAATAATATCCCCCTAGATAATAGAATTGATATAACAAATGCATTGATCAATCTGTTTTTATTAAGGTGTCGGCTTTACTGTTAGATCCAGTGACATCACTAGATGTAAATAGGACGTTGGTCGGCTGCCCGAATATTAGATTTTTCCCCACTTTGACAAAAATGATCCAACAAGCGTAAGAAGAGCAATGCACCGCAGCGGCGCAGCCCTCCGGGAGTGGGGGCAGGGGGATACAGTGCCCCCACTTTTTCAAGCTCCCGAAAAGTTCCCTTTTTACATAGGAATAGTACCCCTTTTACTTTGACAAGTGTCCCTATTAATTTTTAAAAGTGCCTCTTCCCCTTTTCAACTCTGATAAGCGCCCCTTTTATTTGGACACGTGCCCCTTTTCCTTCGACAAGTTCCCTTTTTCCATTTTCCATTCTCATTAGTGCCCTTTTTAATCTCTAAGTGCCCCTTTTCAGGTACGAGAAGTGAATCTTTTCACTTTTGATTAGTGCCCCCTCAACCTCTGATAATTGCCCTATTAAAATCTGAGAGGTGCCTCTTTTACTTTGACAAGTGCCCCTTTTCCTTTCTAATAAGTGCCCCTTTTCCTAATGATGAGTGCCCCATAAAAAAGAGCCCCTACCCCTTCTCATTAGTGCCCCTTTTCTAGGAAATGACCCTTTTCAAGTACGAGAAGATACTCCTTTTTACTTCAGATAAGTGCCCCCTGTGACCTCCGATAAATGCCCCTTTAAAATCTGATCGGTGCCCATTTTCTTTAATTATAAGTTCTTCTTTTCATATCTGGTCATTGCCCCTTTTCAGGTGCAATAAGTGCCTCTTTTCACCTCTGATAATTTCCCTTTTAACAATGATACATGCCCCTTTTCCTTTCTGATACGGGACCTATCCCCTTTTCCTATTCTCATAACTGACTTTTTTTTATCCCTGGTGAGTGCCTCTTTTTGAGAGTGTAAGAAGTGCCCAATTTTCAACTCTTATTGTAACTCTTTGTACTTTGACACATGCTCCTTTTCTTTTCTGATGAGTGTCCCCTTTTCCTCTCATCATTAAACGCGCCCCAAATTTCAGGTGACTAAGAGCAATTTCTCCCAAAGTTCGCTCGCTCGCTATCTATAGATGATATACTGATGTTATTATCACAGGTATTTTCAGTCTTCCGTTATGAGAATGTGCTTATAAGCCCGTCAGGATTGGGTTTTTTCCTCTTTATAAGATGTAATTATCCGCACTGCGATCCCAAAAAAATTAAAAATTGACCTTGCTCGCTTCGCTCGCTCGCAAAGAATTTTTCAAACCATCTCACCCAACTGCAATCTTGTATGGTGTATAAAGTCAAACAAAGATTGATGTAATCACAATGTAGGGTTATATATTAATATCTATTAAAAAGATTGTATATTTTCGCTCGGCCGCCCCTGTGTAGATTAATCATTAAATTTCAAGATTTGCCGACATGATAATCTTTAATAAATTAGTGCCCTACCTCTAACCAATATCAGCGGCTCTTTTTAATTTAACTATTCAGTTGAGCTCCCTTCGATTAAAGATAAAGTTGAGTTCTTGTCATGCGATTGCATTGTGAAAGAAACGTTATGGAACCAATCAGAAAAGGTTGATCATGTAGCATATAAGTACTGGTGTATACTGCAAGGTTCTGGAATCATCAAAATGATAAGTATTTGACCCAAGTCTTCGTAAAGTTACAAGCACTGCACACAGAAAGATGTATATGGGACTAAGCTAACATGTGGCAATAAAATCCGTCCCGATGTTTATGATGTTACATGCCATAATTTAGAATATTAAGGCATTTGAATAGCCATGCTTTTCAGGGAACATTTTTTTATTTGATGTTCTTCCACACTTGCATAATACAATGATAGTGCTCACAAATTGTCTTTCACCTCTTCCCAGAACTCAACCTTCTTTGTAACAAGTATTAGAACTATTAACGCTAAAAAACATTTGCAATAGTCTTTGCGCAAGATCTATAGTAACTGAAAATGCATCAGTTGATCTCATATGTCATTTCAAAGGCAGGGGCCTACATGGATAAGGGTTATTATTATAAGGTGATTATGTTTATTACCAGAAGCGACTGAATATGAAGAAAAAAAACATCATCCTTTTTCGATTTTAGATTTCTTTCCTTGTTCGGGATCGAACATCAACGTGTCAGTGACGTTGGTTTGCGATGGATATTACAACTGTGACAATTACAAGGATGAATCATCATGTAGTAAGTAACATAATATCTCGTTAGTTTTTATTAACAAATTCTGAAAATTCTACAACAAATTTGCTCTCCGCCAATTATATGCCACCATTTCAGTAGTTCATGTCACTTGTCTTTGATAACATGTTTCATAGATCAGGGCCTTGTTATACGAATACTGAATTGTTGGAATACAGGTGCTGAAATATGAATCCATTTATTTGTTGCATTCTCTCACATTCTCCTCCAATGTTTTTATGAATTTGCGAAATTCAGTACTTACTTGCATTTTCGCGATAGATTTTCTGCAGTATTTTAAAGACAGACTCATATTGTATGCCTCGTGGATTTGTCTTGAATATTTTAGTCACTGAGGTTATGGCTTTTGTGCTTACGGCTTATTAGGGTATCCCAATTTGTTTCAACAACTTGGTAAAAGCCAAAGACTGGTTTTGAACAGTCACCCATTTCACTCACAAGATTTGACCCCTCAAAGTTACTGATATATTCTAGGTCACTGATAACAATTGCAGTTTGAGTGTAGCTGTCGGGATACCCCCCCCCCCCCCCACCCACCGCCCCAGCCCCGAAACCCAAAATTGGGTCGAAGCACTAGATTTTCTTAATATGATGTCGTACATGTATGTCCATATATCTGGACATGACCGTCTTTACATTTTTGTAATTGTAGTGGTACGCTGATTTGAGCAACACATTTACCTAAAGGGGGCGCTAGAGCCATAAGAGGAGCCGGGCTGGGTTGATTAATTGTACGGTCATTAGTTTGACTTGGTAAACATTTAAAAGTTGAATAGCTTTAATTATGTTTCCAATAGTGTGCCGGGAACGGTTAACACCTGGGCCCTGTCTTACAAAGAGTCCTCTAATCAATCACAAGTTTGCAGTCTCCTATCTCTTATGTACATAGTTGCGATTGATATCAATCGTAAATAAGTTGCAATTAATATCAACTTGTAAGACAGGGCCCTGGTCTTGAATTTCGATAAGCATGTTGGAAATTAATTCCTGCATTAAGATGTACAGGTGTTTATTTCCGATAAACACGTTAGACAATAGTCTGTTTTTTCCGGGGACCTGACATTCTCGCGAAGATATAGACTCCTCCCATATTTGTCGGTCACTAGTTCAAGTCACTCTCAGAGGCGGCCCTCCCCGGGGGGGCAGGGGGCACAGTGCCCCCACACTTTTTCAGATACCCCAAAAGTGCCCTTTTTTACATAGAAAAATTTGCCCCTTTTACATAGGAAAAGTGCCCCTTTTACTTTGACAAGTCCCCCTATTACTTCCCCCTTTTCACCACTGACGAGTGCCCTTTTTATTTTTGACACGTGCCCCTTTTCCTTCAACACATCCCATTTTTCTTTGCAATAGGTGTCCATTTTCCATTCTAATAAATCTTGAAATTATCTTGAATAAGTGCCCTTTTTAATCTCTAGTAAGTGCCTCTTTTCACCTCTGATAATTCCCCTTTTAATGATACGTGCCCCTTTTCCTTTCTAATAAGGGACCTATCCCCTTTTCACCTCTTATAAATGTCCCTATCAAAATCTGATGAGTGCCCCTTTTCCGTCAACAAATGCCTATTTCCCATTTCCGTAAACGCCTCTTTTTCATCAATGGTGAGTGCCTCTTTTTAGGTGAAAAAATGCCTCATTTTCACCTCTTATAATTATCCTTTGTACTTTGACACGTGCTCCTTTTCTTTTCTAATAAGTGTCTTATCCCTTTCGATAATTGTCCCCTTTTCATGTAATCATTAAACGTGCCCCTTATTTAAATCGACTAAGAGCAGTTTCCCCCAAAGTGCGCTCGCTGCGCACGCTCGCATTTAAAGATGATATGAGTATGTTACTTATCAAAGGTCTTTTCAGTCTTCCGTTATGAAAATGTGCTTATCACCCCATCACGATTGGCTTTTTATCTCTTTATAAGATGTAATTTTTCGCACTGTGACCTCACAGATCTTTAAAAATGTTCTCGCTCGCTCGCAAAAGCATATTCAGACATTACCCCAACTGTAAAGTATGATGCTTAACTCTTGGCCTGCCATAAGGCTGCATGCACGCTACTGTTACTCTGCTTCTTGCATGCTAGCACGCATTCGTAATAGCAGTTATTGTTCATGCCCAATGGACTGTGCCTAGTGTTTTGCACGCGCTATTGTTAGTACCATCGCGTTAATCCGATTATGTCGTTATAAATCTGGCACTGGGGGGATTAGCCCTGTGGCAGGATAAGAGTTAAGCGATATCTTGTATGATGTATGGAGAGAAACAAATATTGAAATCATCCCTGTAATGTAATCACAATGTAGGAGTATATATCAATGTCTAATAAAATGGTATATTTTCGCTTTAAGATTTCCCACTGTAGATGCCCTTATTTTTTCCAGAAAGTGCCCTTTTTTGTTGGTGCCCCCCTCCCCCACTTTGGAAGTCGCTCGGCCGCCCCTGGTCACTCTTATCTATTATGCCTTATCATTGGTTACAATTATTAAAATGTATAACTCCTCTCTTAATTGGTCGGATGACCTAAGGGTAATTTTATATATCCCATCTTGTTATTGTTTGCCTTCGTAAGGGTCCTCCTGGTTTAGCCGGTTATATTATGTGATATGTAAGCCTCGTCGGGTGCTGGAGTATTTAAATGCCATGTGCGGGATTTTGTGGTGAATTTTATTTCTTTCCGTTATCATGTTTAGGACGTGCTGCTAGTTTAACTGTCTATAGAGCCGCCCAGCCTCTGAGAGAATCAGCTAGTTTGAAATGTTCTAAAATGATTAATCTTCGTCTGTAACTACTGGAGCTTCGGCTGACTTTTATAATTAATAAGGTGGATTTCAACTGTATATTCGAGCTTTTTTCGTTTTCATTTTGTTTCTAAACTTGTCATCACCGACCCTTTAACTCTTATCCTGCCACAGGGCTAATCCCCCCAGTGCCAGATTTATAACAAGATAATCGGATTAACGCGATGCTACTACCAATAGCGCGTGCAAAACATTAGGCACAGTTCAATGGGCATGAACAATAACTGCTATTACGAATGCGTGCTAGCATATGCAGGAAGCGGAGTAACAGTAGCGTGCATGCAGCCTTATGGCAGGCTATGAGTTAACGGGCTCATTACATAATCAACAGAGAATGTTTTGAATACAAATTGTGTCCATATAATATAAGGGGGGAATGTAATAATGTTTTGTAATGTCCGTTCATAACTGTTAGGTATCATCTACAGAAACGAAAGTTACTTGTTTTTTCTTTTCTTCTTGTTAAAACATTCTTTCTTGTATCGTGAAAATCTATTCTTGCAGATTATTCAACAACATATCTTCAGGAAGGCGAATCACATATCATCTCCTTACCATTAACCACTACAAGCCGATTGCATAACGTAACATTGATACAAACAAACGCTAAGAAAGGATTTCATGTTGTGATCCAATATTTGTATTTGGCTAATGTTGATTTAGTCCAAATAGGGACTGGTGACGATCCGTCTGACATAAATTCTGTAATCACAACTATCCATGGACCTAAAATCTACGCAGATGATATTTATGTACACTCCAATGAGATATGGTTTGCTGCCATAGGAGGGCTGCAATACAGTCGTATTCGTATGGATGTTGGTGTTACTGCCATTGATTTGCTGAGTGAGTATAATTTGCATCAGTCGGACTTTACTGTTCAATTCCTTGTGGCTTTTGATACTAATAAAATCACCCGAGATAATAGATGCGATATACAAATGCATTGATCAACCTCTTTTTATTAGGGTTTCCGCGTTATTGTTAGACAGTGACATACATTATCGTTAGATGTAAATAGGACGCGGTGAGGCTGCTAGAATATTATATTTCCCCCATTTTGACAAAAAATGATCCAACAAGCGTAAGACGAGCGATACAAATATCGCTTTAGGTTAAAAACTACAATTCAGGATTTGCCGATATGAGAATGTTTAATAAATGAGTGCCCCACCTCATACCAATATCAGCGGCTCTTTTTAATTTAACTATTTAGTTGAGCTCCCTTCCATTTACAAGTATAACTATTAACACAAAAGAGCATATGCAATTGTTTACGATATGTTTAGTAACATGTGTCACTTAAAGATAACCCTCGTGTAATCATATACTTTTGTAAATATGTTAATTCAGATACCCTAATTTATATATAAACCAATGAACCGGGACCTACATAATACAAGCTTTGCGTTTTAGTAGATCCCCCACTTTATTGATTGATTTATATGGTTGTATTCTCTTTTATAACTATTATCATTTACATTTTGTTTTCTCTATTGTATGTTTAGTTACAATAATTACCATTATTCACTATGTTCAATTATGTTATCTTTGATGAAGTGAAATAAATAAACTTGAAACTATGTACAAGATCAACTGTAACTGAAAATGCATCAGTTGATCTCAATTGTCATTTTAAAGGAACATATATTAGGGTTATAAGTATTAGGATATTATTTTTTAATATCAGAAGTTAGTGAATATTCCTTATCCCTTTTCTGTTTCAGATTTCTTTCCATGTTCGGGATCGAACATGAACGTGTCAGTGACGTTGGTTTGCGATGGGTATTACGACTGTGACAATTATGAGGATGAATCATCGTGTAGTAAGTAACAAAATACCTCCTTAGTTTTGTTACTGAAATTCCTTTACCCCTTGTTTCGAGGCATTATATTTCGCTGCCTACTCCCATATACATGATATAGAATATAACTTAGGCAGACTAGCAGGAATCCCAATCAGCATATTTCCTAGTGAGTAACACCAGGGGCATGTTTCATAGTTATTAAAATCAAATTCTCAAAATTCTAGTTATACGAACACTGAATTGTTGGAATATGGATGTTTAAAGTGACTCGGTAACATTGTTGAAGGTTGATGAAAAAATTGCTTTATTTGTGTATAAAATGTTACTTATTATATTTATTCTATTGTAATAACCCTCTGACATGCAAAAGATCCTGAAAAATACTCAAACCACAAAGGCGTCACTGTGCAACACCCTCTAACAGTGATTAACAGTAAATTCTCCCAACCATTTTTGAATTTTCCCAAAAGTTTTTCCATGAAAAAAAAACATAAAACAGGCTATTAAAAATCTGTCAACACTTAAATGTCTGGAATGGTAAGTAGAGCCAATTTATTGCTTTGTGACGATTTACATTTACCTAAAATGTAATTAAATTGTAATAATATAGTTGGGAGAATTAAGGAATCGATCAGATCCGTTTTTCCCAATTTGTATCATTAATAATGGTCCGTTTTCACTAACATGTTCAGATTATCTTTAATTGTACATCTCGCATTGAAGTCACTACCTCAGCACCACTATCTCTCATCTGAACAATTTACCAATTTCCTTTAAATATAAATCCATTTATTGTTTGCATTCTTTCACTTTCTCCTCCACTGTTAAATGAAATTGCAAAATTCGTTACTTACTTGCATTCTCGCCATGAATTTTCTGCATCATTTTAATAACAGACTCGTATTGCATGTCTTGTGTATTTTTTTGAATATTTTAGTCACTGGGGCGATTGCTTTTGTGCTCATGGCTTATTAGGGTATCCCAATATGTTCCACCAACTTGGTAGAACCCAGAGACCGGCCCTGAACAGTCACCCATTTCACTCACAAGATTTTTCCCCTCAAATGTACTGATATTATTGATGAAAAGTGTGGCAGTCTGAATGTAGCTGTCAGGTTACCACCCCCCCCCCCCCACCCACCCCCACCTCCGAAACCCCAAAGTTAGGTCGAAGCACTAGATTTTGTCAATATGATATCGTATGTCTGTAAATCACGATGGGTCAGTCTTTAAATTTTGTTATGAACCGAGAATAATTCGAATACAAATTGTCTCCATATGATCAAAGGGGGGAAATGTAAAATGCTTTGTAATGTCCGTTCAGAACTGATAAAAATCATCTAGAGATACGAAAGTTAATTGTTTTTTCCTTTTCTTTTCTTGTTTTTGTTTTTAATTAATTTCACCTTTTTTCTTGTGTTATGAAAATGTTTTCCTGCAGATTATTCAGCATCCTATCTTCAGGAAGGCGAATCACATATCATCTCCGTACCATATACCACTACAAAACGATTGTATTTGCAACCTTGCTACAAACAAACACTACGAATGGATTCAAAGTTGTGTTCCAAGATTTGAATCTCCGCGCTAATGTTGATTTAGTCCAAATAGGGACTGGTAACGATCCGTCTGACATACAGTCTGTCATCACAACTATCGATAGATCTACATATTATAACGCAGATGATATTTATATATATTCCAATGAGATGTGGTTTGCTGCCATAGGAGGGCCGCGATACAGTCGTATTCGTGTGGATGTTAGTGTTACTGCCATTGATTTGCTGAGTGAGTATAATAGACCATTTCGTAGTTAGCACACGGGTTAAAATGTTAAATGACCCCGAATATCCACAGATATTTTACTCATGGAGAAGTCCCACTTTGTGTATTTTAGAATAATCAATGTCAAAGTCATGATTGTGCTTCATGAAAAGCTTTTGTTTGCCCTCTTGCATCATAGAATGTACCGTAGGTGCACACATAAAAATGATTACATAACATGAGCACGTAGTCATCTCGGTGGGTTTTACAATTTTATCAAAAATTACCTTTATCTGCCCATGCGCAGATAGTATTTACGAAATGACGGACTTTACTGTTAAATTCCTTGTGGATTTCGATACTAATGAAATCACCCGAGATAAAAGAAGGGATATACAAATGCATTGATCAACCTGTATTTATGAAGGTTTCGGATTTATTGTTAGACAGTGACTTTGCCAGATGTTAATAGTTTGTTGTTGTTGTGATTAATGGCGTTTCCATCGTCTTTCGATGATTTCCGCCAGGCAATGTGAAAGGGCGTAGTTACTGGTCCTCTCTTAATACTTTTACTGATGGATCGACGATAGCCTAGTGGCGTTGTGTTTGTGCAATTAACAATGTTAGTAAATTGTTAGTAGTTACTTTCTGTATTGTTAATCGGCTTGTTATTTTAAAGAATTCATTAGAAAGTAAAGGATGAAGTGGTTGAATATTGATTGCGATCAGTTCATTACATTAGGACGTTAGTTTAAAGCCTCTCTCCGTATAATGAAGCAATTTATACAATTTATACAATGAAGCAATTTATACAATTCATACAATGAAGCAATTTATACAATTCATACAATGAAGCAATTTATACAGAGCGTAGTACCACTGTCACTAATAGATAATATAACAAAACGTAAGTACTACACAATTAATACTTAATTAATACGTAATTAATGTTTATAGCTGATCATTACAGTTCGTTGTACCTTCCACTGCCTTTAAAAAAAAGCTACCACCTTTCCTATATATTCCTCATTTCCTAGTAAGTGACCTAGATTTGGATTTTGGGTCTTTAGTGCTCTGTACATTCTCCTTCTGTGTCTTTCATATTTTGGACATGATAATAAAAAGTCCTCAATTGTTTATATCGTTTGGCATTCTACACATAGTCCCGTGTCGTGTTTTCTAACTAAATATTTATAGTAATTCAGGTTACATTTACCAAGCCTAAATTGGTGGATTAATTTTTCATCCTTTGGGTTTAAACCTTTGATTTTAAAAACATTTTTTACATTTTTATTTATGCTATACAATTGTCTTCCTTTCTCTACTTTATCCCAGAGGCTTTGCCACATGGATTTATAATAAATATCTGATTCTCTTACAAACTCACTTTTGCTATGGTTTACTATTATATCTGTGTGTTGTTTTTAAAGCTTGTTTTGCCAACAAATCAGCTCGTTCGTTTCCTGCTAGGCTGCAGTGGGCTGGTGCCCATTCAAGGTTTACATTTACCCCGAAGGAATTTATAGCAAATAACTTTTCATATATCTCAACTATTATGCTGGATTCTTTCACATTCTTGATGGCTTCTAAAGCTGATGCTGAATCTGTTAAAATAACTACTGCCCAAATATTATATTCCTCCCCCCCCCCCCCCACTTTGACAAAAAATTATCCAACAAGCGTAAGAAGATCGTATACATCGCTGTAGGTTAAAAACTACAATTAAGATTGGCCGACAAAAATCTCTAATAAACGGGTGGCCCACCATAAACCAATACCACCGGCCCATTTTAACTTAACAATTAAATCTCCCCTCCGTTAACAAGTATTATAACTATAAACACAAAAGAGCATATGCAATAATCTATGTGCAAGATCAATTGTAACTGAAAATGCATCAGTTGATCTCAATTGTCATTTCAAAGGAACATAGATTACGGTTAATATTATGGAGAGATTGTTTTTATAATAAGAAATAAGTGAAATCTCCTAAAAAACATCGCTCTGTTTTGGTTTCAGATTTCTTTCAATGTTCGGGATCGAACATGAACGTGTCAGTGTCGTTGGTTTGCGATGGATATTACGATTGTGACAATTATGACGATGAATCATCATGTAGTAAGTAACAGAATACCTCTTAAGTTTTGTTACTGAAATTCCTTTTGACTACATCCATATGTTCTGACGCACTATGTTCCGCTGCCTACTACCACATACATGATATAGAATATAAATCATATTTTAATGGGTTTGGGCCTTTGGGAATACAAAATAATGCATTCTGATAGAAGTAGAGTCATTTATTTGATTTGTTCATGTTTTAACCACTGCTGTTCTGCACAGTAACTAAAATTATGGAATATATTTGTGTGAATGAGTAGGCCTAAAATGCTTGTTTATAATCATGTCTTGAATAGTCTTGCTGTAGGCAAATCAAGTTCAACCTGTTCAGGTATCATTTCATGTTTCTAACAAACTCCCTGTATAAATAAAAGTGGTCAATACTAAGCTTGGTCCAAACAGTATCCTTTTACAGTTTAGTCTATGTTGACTTTCCGTGTTACCATAGCATATGGATGTGAGGTCTGGCTAGGTGCCTCTCTTGTCTTACCCATCTTGAGAGACCAGGAAAGTGAAGAATCAAACTTTATACTACCTAAAAATTAAGAATTCCATATATTGAATTTCATCTCGTTTTCTATACCAAGTTAGATTTTACAGTTTGAAAGACTGAACTTGTCACAATCAAAGTAAATTACCTGGATAATTTGCAGAAATCCCAATCAGCATATCCCCTAATGAGTTACACCAGGGGCTCGTTTCATTAAAAAAACTTGTTATTTAATAGTAAAATTCTGAAATTCTACGAAATATTTGCCCTCAGCCAATTAAATGCCTCGATTTCAGTAGCTTATAAGAGTTCTTGTAACTTATTATTGAAAGCATGTTTAATGAATTAAAGATACTATGTCCCTTTTGCAGCCAACATCAACTTCTGTAGAACTTTGCAGGAATTATGAATATGTTATGTATGTCCTACCTGTGAAATTGAAACGTTAGCAGTGTCCTAATATTCAAATTATGCAAGGAAACCAGTTTACTTGCTAGACTTCAATGTCAGACACTATTGAGTGATTGACTGGCTTTTTTTTCTTTTTTGGTAATAACATATATAAAATGAGATGTCTACATTTGTCTACATCAATAACCCACTTCTTGTAATGGCCAAAACTAAACTGATTGAATCTTTGCGCAGCATAAAACCTACGACCATTCGGAACAATAGTCTGCAAATCAGACTATTACTTACTGGCTCTATAGCTCTTAAGTTGATTTGACAACTAATAGTCGTTTTTTCCCACTTAAAGACATTTTCAAGCCCCCCCCCCCTTTTTTTTTTAGGGAAGTTCTAAATTAGTATTATCTTTGAAATGCCATTGGAATTTAACCTTTTCGTTTTTTGGCCTGCAAATGGGACATAGTACCTTTAAGGCCAAGGTATACACGAACACTAAATTGTTGTAATACGGGTGCTGATATAAGAAGCCATACATTTAGCATTCTCTCACATTCTTGTCCACTGAGAAGCCGAAGACTGGTCCTGAACAGTAGCCCATTTCACTCACAATAATTGACCCCTCAAAGTTACTGATATAATCTATGTCATTGTACCTGTCGGGTTAACCCCCCCCCCCCCCCCAACCCCGCCCTCCGAACCCAAAGTCGGGCCGAAGCCTTATATAATGTAAAATGTTTTGCAATGTCTGTTCATAACTGATACTTTCTTTAAAAAAAATAGTGAATTTTCACTCTATTTTCACTTTCTTGGGAGTGACGTCCGTGATCACTTGTTTAGGAGTGAAAATCGATTGATTTTAGAGAGCTCTCTAAGAAGAAAAGAGTGAATGTTCACTCTATTTTCACTACATTTTCACTCTCCAGAGGAGTGACGTCCGTGATCACTCGATTTTTTTTAGAGAGAGATACGAAAGCTACTTCCTTTTTTCTTTTTTTCTTTTTGTTCTTCATTATGTCGTTAAAATCTTTTTCTGCAGATCATTCAGCAACATATCTTCCGGAAGGCGAATCACATATCATCTCCTTACCTAACCCCAATGCAAGACGATTGTATTACACAACCTTGATACAAACAAACGCTACGAATGGATTTCAAGTTCTGTTCAAAGATTTGCATCTCCGCCATAATGATGATTTAGTCCAAATAGGGACTGGTAACGATCCATCTGACATACAGTCTGTCATCACAAATATCCATGGACATCAATACTTTGCAGATGATATTTATGTAGATTCCAATGAGATATGGTTTTCTGCCATAGGAGGGCGGCCATACCTTGGTGTCAGTATGGTTGTTGGTGTTACAGCCATTGATGCGCTGAGTGAGTATAATGGCTTCAGTCGGACTTTACTGTTCAATTCCTTTCGGCTTTTGTTACTAATAAAATCACCCGAGATAGTAGAAGTGATATACAAATGTATTGATCATCCTGTTTAGATTAAGGTTTCCCCCTACTTTGACAAAAATGATCTAACAAACGTAAAAAGTGCGTATACATCGCTGAAGGTTAAAAACTACAATTCAAGATTTTCCGACATGAATATCTACTGTCTTACCTCCCACCAATATCAACAGCCCTTTTTAACCTAACTATTAAGTCGGGCTCCCTAAAGCCTCCCTTACCTTAACAAGTATAAAACTTCCGGGTTAATATTCCTTTCTCTATTTTCAAATTAGTGAACAATGTGCTTCTTTCGCTATTTGGTCATTCGATTTAATTCATTTGTAGCATTTAAATTAACACATTGCGCACTAAAATTGATGGTCAAAATACATTTCTCGTTTGTTACACACTTGTTATAGCTCGTTTTTTTTCTGTAAAGATTTTTTTTTTTATTCATTTGTATTTCATCAGTTTTTATTTTCTTGCATTTATACACTTATATTTATTCGATTTATCTGATATTCATCAGCATTTAAGTTTGATGGTTCTAAGACACTTACCCCTTAAACATCCACCCCCGGATAACCGCCCCAGTCAACTAACCCCTAGGACAACTACCCTCTAGGACGACTACCCCCGAGACAACTACTCCCGGACAACTACCCCCTAGGATAACTACCCCCGGACAACTACTCCCTAGGACAACTTCTTCCCCCGGACAACTATCCTAGGGGGTAGTTGTTCGTAGGGGGTGTCAAGATTTCCCCGGATATAACAAAATAGCCACAAAGACTCTCATAAATGAGTTTTACAGACTGTTTATTGACAACTACATCAACAACTAAATTCATAGAAAGCTGCTGTTACACAAATATGTACATATACGTACGGTCAATTAATTACTCCAATACCCACGAGTGTAGTCCCGTCTACAGTTAACTTCCCGGTTTTTTAAGTGTCCGAAATTAAGAAAATTGTCCGAATAAAGCGAAAGGCCTTTTGTTTGGTATTTGCTAATAGTTGTTGCTATATCAAAAGATCAAATACCGACGTGGTTCCTACGACGATTCGATTCTTGGAGACTTGTGAAGGTTGATGTCCCGTAATCGCTATTTACGGCAATCGGTCATGTGCTTCAAGATCCCGGATATAATGACTCGGCGATTCTTGGATGCTAATTCGACGACGCTCAGCGTGCTACTAATTTTGTAGTGAAGAACGTTCTTGTCCCTCGTTACACGGAGTTATGTTGACAAGGTTTTGCCAATGGCAGGAAAATCGAGGTTCTGGGCTACATGGAGGATACCTCTCGTACCGGTGTCGCCTGAGGAAAAAGACTGCTTGCGCCGAATACAAAATCAAGGCTCTGGTAGCAACTTCCACAACACACATAAGGGTACATGTTCAAGACCTCTCACACGTCCAGCTACAACCTCCGTCTTCTAGTCAACTGCCCTGACTTAAATCCACGCGTACACACCTTTAAGCATTCTCGGCACCACACCCTAATTTGCATATATTCAGACAAGCGAAATATTTTCTATCACCAACGCCCTCTAATGTCTAGATGACTTTGAAAATAGGAAAACAAATAAAATAAGAACAAATTTCCCATTTTACTCTGACAGGGGGGTAGTCGTCCTAGAGGGTAGTTTTCCTAGGGGTGGTTGCCCTAGGGGGTAGTTGTCCTGAAGCAGATATTAGGGTTATAGGGGTTATGTTTATAATCAGAAGAAAGCGAATACTCCTAAATCACACATCGTTCTTTCCCTGTTTCAGATTTCTTTCCTTGTTCGAGATCAAACATGAACGTGTTAGTGACATTGGTTTGCGATGGATATTACAACTGTGACAATTATGAGGATGAATCATCATGTAGTAAGTACATCCCCGTGTTTTTATTATGTGGCGCTGGCTATACTACCATACACGTATATAATGCAACTTTAATTGGTAAATTTGCATAAATCCTAATCAGCATAATTCTTAATTTGGAACCCCAGGGGCTTGTTTCATAAAATCAATGTCTAAAAATCTACGACAGATTTGCTCTCATTTGCTCTCAGCCAAATAAATGTCACGATTTCAGAAGTTTATAACAGTTCTTGTCACTTGTTATTAGGGACTTTTAGATCTGCAAGCTGACATAGTGGACTGCTACGTGTGACGTTCTTTTAAGGCACTGACAGTGCCTTAAAAGGACGTCACACGTATAAGCAGTTCACTATGTCGACCTGCAAATCTAAAAGTCTCTATTGATAACATGTTTATGATAAAGGCCAACAAAAAAGATCATTTGGAGTAGGGGCGGGCGGGCGTTTTTTTTTTAAGTACAATGAATATCAAGACCAACACAGAAAGTATTTTTGACTTTAAAATACAGCACCTTTTAACTCCCCACTGTACTACTTATAGCTACTTGCGCCCTCTATATAGCAAACAATGACTAATCGGTGCCCATTGGTCCCCCATGATCCTCTTTATCTTATGTTAACTGGGAGCTGATTTGATGAGATAACCACCTGTCCAGTAACCTTGCAGGGTGGTCTAATCCCTCCTGTAAACTATATAGTACAGATGGGCTTTAAAATGAGTTTAAGAATGCTCAGAACCTGATTTGAATGAACGGCATTATGACATATAAAAATTAAAATGGCCATTTTAATAAATACAGAATTGCGTACTGAAAAGACCAAACTGGCAACGTGACGCATTTTGATCCTTGCAAAATGCATTAAATGGTATGTTTGGCATTTAAAAAAGCTCCCCCCCCCCAAAAAAAAAAAAAATAAATAAATAAATAAATAAATAAATAAAAAAATAAAAAAATAATAATAATAATAATAATTAAAAAAAATAATAATAAAAAAAAAATAAAAAATAAATAAATAAATAAATACGAGCGGCCCGAAAATGACGAGCGGGCGGTCGAGGACAACCAAATGATTTATGTTTTTTTTTGGCCTAAGGGCCTAGTTAGACGAACACTGAATTGTTGGAATACGGGTGCTGAATTATGAAGCAATATATTGAGCATTCTATCAAAGTTACTGATATTATCTAGTTCATTGATAACAAGTGTGCCAGTCTGAGTGTCGCTTTCGGATTAACCTCCTCCCCCCCCCCCCCCTCCCCCTCCCCCGAACCTCAAAGTCGGATAAAAGCACTACATTTTCCCAATATGATGTCGTGTGTCTGCATATCTGGACAGGTCAGTCTGTACATTTTTGCAATGAATAAAGACTGATTCGAATAAACATTGTATCCATATGATCTAAGGTGGAAAATGTAGAATGTGTTGTTATGTCAGTGGAATCATGTTCACTTACGAAAGTTGATAGTTTTTTCCATTCTTTTTTGATTTTTTTTTTTATTCGTTTCTTTCCTTCTTGTGTTGTGAAAAAAATTCTTGCAGATTATTCAGCAACATATCTTCAGGAAGGCGAATCACATATCATCGCCTTACCATTAACCACTACAAGACGATTGTATAACGCAACCTTGATTCAAACAAACGCTACGAATGGATTTCAAGTTGTGTTCCAATATTTGCGTCTCTCCCGTTATGATGATTTAGTTCAAATAGGGACTGGTAACGATCCGTCTGACATACAATCTGTCATCACAACTATCAATGGATATAGCTCCTATGCAAATGATGTGTATGTAAATACCAATAAGATGTGGTTTGCTGCCATAGGAGCAAAGAGATTCCCCAGTCTTCGAATGGACGTTGAGATTATCTCTATTGACCTATCAGGTGAGTTTGTGATGATATTATATTATCTTTTATGTTGGATATCACTGCATTTTCAATGTACTTCTTACTCTAGTCACACCAACAATGAGCCCAACTCCAAACCGACTATAGACCGAACAATTGCATCGCCATGAGTATCCCCAATGGCCAATGAAATCGGCGGTATGTGGTCGGTTTGGAGTCAGTTTGACGGTTCGACTGAAATAGATAGATGGTTAGATAAAATTAATTATTGATTTAACAAAATATACAATTATTGCGGCAAAGCCGATATTCGATAATTTTACAATGATGGAGTGAACACAAATAAGTAATCAGCATTGACAAAAACAACAAATAACAAATCATAATCAGTGATGATAGAGTTAATACAAAAAGAGTGTAGTCCCGTCTACAGTTAACTTCCCGGTTTTTTAAGTGTCCGAAATTAAGAAAATTGTCCGAATAAGGCGAAAGGCCTTTTGTTTGGTATTTGCTAATAGTTGTTGCTATATCAGAAGATCAAATACCGACGTGGTTCCTACGACGATTCGATGCTTGGAGACTTGTGAAGGTTGATGTCCCGTAATCGCTATTTACGGCAATCGGTCATGTGCTTCAAGATCCCGGATATAATGACTCGGCGATTCTTGGATGCTAATTCGACGACGCTCAGCGTGTTACTAATTTTGTAGTGAAGAACGTTCTTGTCCCTCGTTACATGGAGTTATGTTGACAAGGTTTTGCCAATGGCAGGAAAATCGAGGTTCTGGGCTACATGGAGGATACCTCTCGTACCGGTGTCGCCTGAGGAAACAGACTGCTTGCGCCGAATACAAAATCAAGGCTCTGGTAGCAACTTCCACAACACACATAAGGGTACATGTTCAAGACCTCTCACACGTCCAGCTTCAACCTCCGTCTTCTAGTCAACTGCCCTGACTTAAATCCACACGTACACACCTTTAAGCATTCTCGGCACCACACCCTAATTTGCATATATTCAGACAAGCGAAATATTTTCTATCACCAACGCCCTCTAATGTCTAGATGACCTTGAAAATAGGAAAACAAATAAAATAAGAACAAATTTCCCATTTTACTCTGACAGGGGGGTAGTCGTCCTAGAGGGTAGTTTTCCTAGGGGTGGTTGCCCTAGGGTGTAGCTGTCCTGAAGCAGAGATTAGGGTTATAGGGATTATGTTTATAATCAGAAGAAAGCGAATACTCCTAAATCACACATCGTTCTTTCCCTGTTTCAGATTTCTTTCCTTGTTCGGGATCAAACATGAACGTGTTTGTGACATTGGTTTGCGATGGATATTACAATTGTGACAATTATGAGGATGAATCATCATGTAGTAAGTACATCCCCGTGTTTTTATTATGTGGCGCTGGCTATACTACCATACACGTATAGAATGCAACTTTAATTGGTAAATTTGCATAAATCCTAATCAGCATAATTCTTAATTTGGAACCCCAGGGGCTTGTTTCATAAAATCAATGTCTAAAAATCTACGACAGATTTGCTCTCATTTGCTCTCAGCCAAATAAATGTCACGATTTCAGAAGTTTATAACAGTTCTTGTCACTTGTTATTTGGGACTTTTAGATCTGCAAGCTGACATAGTGGACTGCTACGTGTGACGTTCTTTTAAGGCACTGACAGTGCCTTAAAAGGACGTCACACGTATAAGCAGTTCACTATGTCGACGTGCAAATCTAAAAGTCTCTATTGATAACATGTTTTATGATAAAGGCCAACAAAAAAGATCATTTGGAGTAGGGGCGGGCGGGCGTTTTTTTTTAAAGTACAATGAATATCAAGACCAACACAGAAAGTATTTTTGACTTTAAAATACAGCACCTTTTAACTCCCCACTGTACTACTTATAGCTACTTGCGCCCTCTATATAGCAAACAATGACTAATCGGTGCCCATTGGTCCCCCATGATCCTCTTTATCTTATGTTAACTGGGAGCTGATTTGATGAGATAACCACCTGTCCAGTAACCTTGCAGGGTGGTCTAATCCCTCCTGTAAACTATATAGTACAGATGGGCTTTAAAATGAGTTTAAGAATGCTCAGAACCTGATTTGAATGAACGGCATTATGACATATAAAAATTAAAATGGCCATTTTAATAAATACAGAATTGCGTACTGAAAAGACCAAACTGGCAACGTGACGCATTTTGATCCTTGCAAAATGCATTAAATGGTATGTTTGGCATTTAAAAAAGCTCCCCCCCCCCCCCCCCCCCCAAAAAAAAAAAAAAAAAAAAAAAATAATAATAATAATAATAATAATAATAATAATAATTTAAAAAAAAATAAAAAATAAAAATAAATAAATACGAGCGGCCCGAAAATGACGAGCGGGCGGTCGAGGACAACCAAATGATTTCTGTTTTTTTTTTGGCCTAAGGGCCTAGTTAGACGAACACTGAATTGTTGGAATACGGGTGCTGAATTATGAAGCAATATATTGAGCATTCTATCAAAGTTACTGATATTATCTAGTTCATTGATAACAAGTGTGCCAGTCTGAGTGTCGCTTTCGGATTAACCTCCTCCCCCCCCCCCCCTCCCCCTCCCCCGAACCTCAAAGTCGGATAAAAGCACTACATTTTCCCAATATGATGTCGTGTGTCTGCATATCTGGACAGGTCAGTCTGTACATTTTTGCAATGAATAAAGACTGATTCGAATGAACATTGTATCCATATGATCTGAGGTGGAAAATGTAGAATGTGTTGTAATGTCAGTGGAATCATGTTCACTTACGAAAGTTGATAGTTTTTTCCATTCTTTTTTTATTTTATTTTTTTATTCGTTTCTTTCCTTCTTGTGTTGTGAAAAAAATTCTTGCAGATTATTCAGCAACATATCTTCAGGAAGGCGAATCACATATCATCGCCTTACCATTAACCACTACAAGACGATTGTATAACGCAACCTTGATTCAAACAAACGCTACGAATGGATTTCAAGTTGTGTTCCAATATTTGCGTCTCTCCCGTTATGATGATTTAGTCCAAATAGGGACTGGTAACGATCCGTCTGACATACAATCTGTCATCACAACTATCAATGGATATAGCTCCTATGCAGATGATGTGTATGTAGATACCAATAAGATGTGGTTTGCTGCCATAGGAGCAAAGATATTCCCCAGTCTTCGAATGGACGTTGAGATTATCTCTATTGACCTATCAGGTGAGTTTGTGATGATATTATATTATCTTTTATGTTGGATATCACTGCATTTTCAATGTACTTCTTACTCTAGTCACACCAACAATGAGCCCAACTCCAAACCGACTATAGACCGAACAATTGCATCGCCATGAGTATCCCCAATGGCCAATGAAATCGGCGGTATGTGGTCGGTTTGGAGTCAGTTTGACGGTTCGACTGAAATAGATAGATGGTTAGATAAAATTAAGTATTGATTTAACAAAATATACAATTATTGCGGCAAAGCCGATATACGATAATTTTACAATGATGGAGTGAACACAAATAAGTAATCAGCATTGACAAAAACAACAAATAACAAATCATAATCAGTGATGATAGAGTTAATACAAAAAGAAATTTAAAAAAAAGGATAATTCGACGGAATTAATAAATGTTATCAGTGATCAATGAAAACTTTATCGGTTGGGTATAAGAAGTCTCAGGTTTAACCTCTGGACAGGAACCCATATGTTAGGTCGTTGGCATTTGTAAATGTATTATCATTTTGGGGGAATTTATTCTACACATTTGAATCACTGTAATGTTTTCTTCATGGTTTGATATATTAGGTGGGGGAATGAATGTTTTAACTTCAATTTTGAATGGCCACGTTCCAACACAATAAATTTTGACATTTTAAAAATGTTAAAAGATTTTTGACGACGTCACTGTGGGGGCAAGTGGGAGCCAGCAAAATGCTGGTGTTATTTTGACTACATGGCATTTTTCCAAAAGTTCAAAAATCTGGAAATGAAAAGGGTTAATAATTCTGAAAATTATACAGGATTTGTAATTCCTAAAATAAAACAGGGTTCCTAATTCCGGAAACAAGATAAGTTTCATAATTCAAAACAAAAAACAGGGCTCTTATTTCCGATAAAGCCATGTTTCGTTTATGGAATTACGAACCTTCGGAATACTGAACCCCATTAAATTTTCACATTTTTCATTTTCACAATAATGAACCTTGTATAATTGTATGGAACTACGAATCTTCTGATTTTTATGAACCCCTATTAATTTTTTACAGTTACGAACCCCCAGGTATGGACAATTTGTTTGTTAATTATGAGCCTGCGGAATTATAAAGGTTCGGAAAATGAACCTTCCTACACTGTAAAAAAAAAATAGTCGAAATAACTCAATAAAATTGAGGAAAAGAATTGCCTTATTTTTATTAAGTAAATATTACCTACGGCATCTTAAGTAGAATTTACTTATTTTGCTGAATACATTTTTACTCGGTTAAATCGAGTTACATTAACGTAAATAATTTAAGTATTGTAATCATTTTAGATAATTAAAAAAAAAGCTATGATAGGATTACATATTGCACGATTTGGTACCCATCTAATCTAACAAGTAACATCCACTAATCATTCACTACTTCTATTTAAGATTTAACCGTATATATATATCTACCACCATCTCAAACTATTACATACGCTTCAATTCGACACATATTGAAAGGCTCCACATTTTATATATACTTGATCGTAGCATCTTAAAAGGAAAATTGGTTGACAATTTCCTGAAATATCAAGTTTTGATTTGTTTTGAACTGGGTAACAAATAAAAATTGTCTTGTCTTTGCTTAGCCATGATAAATGAATTAGTAAATGTTTTAAAGTCCTTAAATTTTCATTCAACCACAAAAAAGAATTGTTTCATTTAAAAAGAGTTTAATTTGGTCTTAATGAATATTCATAAATTATGTAAATATTTCTATTACGCACTGCATCGGTCCTTACTTTAAAAAGATAAGAATAATCAACATATTAAATTGTTTGAGTAATACGTATAATTTCTGATTTTGAGTTAAAATTACTAAATTAATACAAGCTGAAATTACTAAAGTTCTTATGTATTTGATTTTACTTAAATATTCCACGTATGTTCTACTAAATTGAAAGTTTGAGTTAGCAAGACTTAAATTTAGTGCGTAAGTGGCAAAACTAATGTTTTGAAGTAAATTCTACATGGAAAAAATACGTAAAAATTACCAATGAACAAATTCTTTTTTACAGTGTACTAACATTGGGAGCTCCCAAGCTGTTATCAATGGTTGAATCTTAAAATCTCTTCTTCTTTGAAATTAGCCCTTCATCTCTTAAAAGTAAATGAATCGTAACAATATGTCTAAACGCTGGTGCCAAGGAAACTGAGGGAAATGAAAACATTAATTCGTAAGTTCTATGCTATTACTATTTTACTAAAAGTATTGCCAGGTTACGATCCTTGCATCCAACGAAACCCGTGCGTCTATGGTGACTGTCGTCCCATTGGACAAGGACAGTACAAGTGTGAATGCCAAGATCATTATGATGGGATCCATTGTGATGAACCAAGTCGTAAGTCATATGTTTGAATTTACCGCTTATGATATCTTTAAAAAAATGATAATACTTTGTGCAAATCCAGGATTCACGTCCTTTCTTTTAAAACGGGTGAATATGAGCCAAAACATTTGAATGAAATGATGAAACACCTTTTTATATTTCTGGATAAGTAAATCAAATTTCTTCCCATCATCTCTGGATATGAAAGAAGAAGAAAAAAACTTTCCTTTTCCCTTTTTTGAGGGAGGGGGAAAGCTTTTATTTATCTGATGACGCTATTCCCGTCATTTGATGGATAAGCGAATGAATGTCAATGTTTGTCAAGCACATCATTTTCTGCTCAATCTATCAATTTAATCTAATATGTCCAGTCATCGTTAACAGGTTGAGAATGTCGTGGTCTTATGCATACGTCACCGGACTGAGGAGAGGACTGATGAGACATTCATGTTTATTTGTCTCTTTCTACCCAGGTGTAGAAAATATATACATGTTGACAATCTATTCATTGAAAGCTTTCAGGTCGTTGGGAAGCTGGGCTTAGCAATTATAGGATCATTATGTAGGACTTCGTAGGCACCTTGAGCGTCCCCTGGGTATTTACGTATATAAATGAAGATGTTATTATTATCTTTTATTGGAAATAGTAGTGGTATTTTTTATTATAATTTTTAAATCGGAATTTTAATATAAATTTGAAGTCGAATATTGACGAAATAATACAAAATATTTGTTTTTCAGCGTACCACTGAAAGCCTATATTATGTATTCTTTGATCAATACTTGTCTTCAAACGCTTTTTTTTTGGGGGGGGGGGTCTATCCTCTTCCACATCAAGGTACAATTTAAGCGAAATTTTGCCATCAAATTTGTTTGCGAAATTGGAGCTCCCAGCACTTTAGAGGGGCTTTAACATTGGGCACCTCTTGGCGAAAAATAATCTCTGCACAATTCTCAGCAATCGATTTATTGTAGATAAATAAATATTGAATTCGATTCAAGCCTAGTTTCTTTCAATTTTTTTTTTTTTATTCTTTACTTTTGTGAAGCTATTTGCCAGAATATGACATGGATTTCTCCTCGGTTTGAAAGAGTCGAATTCCCGGTAGGTGGAAACGGAACATGGGCAAATTCAACAGGAATGTGTCCATTCAACACTTCTCAAGGTTGGTTTTCATTGTCTTTCGTTTATTTTAAGTCAAAGAAGTATAAACGTGAGTCTATAGGTTGAATAGCACGACTAATGTGATAATTTCCCTAAATGTTTGTTCAGAAGTGGCACAGTAAAGAAAAGTGTAAATGAATGGTGACTGCGCTCAGGAAAAAGTTTTGGCCGTATACACTTATCTCTGTGTCAAAAGATATAGAAATGAGAAACATATCACACTTTACGTCATCATAACAAAACAAAACCTTCGCGGTTTTGCCACGTCGTATGTAAACAAGACATTAGGGACTTTTCGATTTGCGTGGTCGTGGACGTGCGACTTCCTTTTAAGGCACTGGCAGTCACGTGTGACGTCCTTTAATGCACTGGCAGTGTCGTAAAAGGGTGTCACACGTTGCAGTCCACGTTCTCGTCGTGTAAATCTAAAAGTCCCTATTAAGGCTTGTAACAGAAGCTCGAGATTAGAAACGACATTGACGCTATAACGCTAACTCAATTAGACTGTCATGACAGTCTGGAATGGAAAGAATGGAAAACGACTCACTTTAATACTCAATATTATTTCCAAAATAGCCTTGATATTATGATGTCTAACTGATGTTGTTGTTTTTATTTCATTATTAAACACTAGCGAATCAAGATGAGGGCTTGTAGGCTCAAAGCCCCTTCCTTTATTAAAGCCCCCAAACTGTTTCTTGGATCAAACTGAATTTAAGCGAGGCACACGTAGAAAATGAATGCAGGAACCCCAAGCCCCAAGGCCTCCGCCCCGAATTAATATCCTAGATCCACGCATGTTGTTGAATGTGTTGAATAGTTCCAAAGGCATGCATTACTTGGGAAAATTTCAATCGTAGACAATACTTCTTTACTTCATTTATGTCTCCTCTTTTCTTCGTATATGGTAATAATTGTTTGCCAGTGTTTTTTTTTCGCTATATATATATATATATATGTATATTTTTGTTAAATATCAAACAGCCAATGAACCCATCGGACGGGCTCTGTGTATCGGCGATGGTATTACCCAGACCCAGTGGCGACCCGTGGATAATTGCGGACCATTTAGAACTGTCACAGATATTCTCACCGAAATGTCACAGGTTTTTGGAATTTTCTTTTCTAATTTGATCATTAAAAATAGTTTTTTTTTATAACCTTCATATTATATGTATTAAAAAATGCAATATTGCAGATCTTTACAAATTGATTTTTTTTTTGATGAATTAATTTTTTCAATGGATAAATATAAAATGACCTATCACGCCACCTCTATGATCACGACACCTTTACAGAATGATTGCACTTATAAGATGTTCGTCTGTTAACAATCTTTTAACAACCGTATAGGCGATTATAACCGCCAACTTTGTTCAGCAATTATCTACCGGTTCATGAGTTATGAAATTTGATATTATGGGACACTGTTTTTTTTAATTTTTTATAATAAAAATGGTTTACAGAAAAAAACGAACCTAACATGTATCATTTAAATATTATAAGTGAAACATGTTCGCAACTTTTGTATCATCCTAAGGAGGTTAAGTCGATCACTTAAAATTTACATGCTGTAAGATATTGTTCCCTCAAATTTGTAGGTAATCATAAGTGAGGAAAACGCCGATGAAGTGAGCCAGCAAGTATCATCTGTTACTTCCAACATCGAAGATATCACATCAGATGACATCATGTTTGTGGCAGAGATAACATCAAACATTGTGCAGCAGAATCTTACAACTGAAGAGGTATTCTGAAAGATGCCAAACTAATCATATTGAAGATGAAGTTGCGATGGAATGTGACTGTATTATGTTCCGATAAATATCTAACGGGGAAAAAATATGAGTCTTTCCTCCAATACATATTTAAAATTGTCATAGATGTGAAAGAGGTAAATACCATAACCGGTTTTAACAATATTGGAAGCATTGATGCTTAACTACTGTGAATGAAAAATTTACTAGAGCGCGGCCCACCCTATATCTGGCTGTTTGAAAATGTTGAATAATGTTTTGTTGGTTCTATGACAGATTTAGATCTGTCGCTGTCCTTTAATATCTTTTTGACCCCTTGGCGGTTGCTCCTTCCGGAAGTTTTGTAACAGCTCCAAAATAACAGTTGCGTGTTAAGGCTATCATGTTATTTAATACGCTATCGTCATTCACTTTGATTTCCGAGATTTTGCAACTCTCCCCTACTATAGTTTAAATAATTTTCATCTTTTGTGTTTAATTTGACAGGTAACAGAGTCTATAACGAGTATTGCGAGCAATATTGCTCAGGTAAAAACAGAGGAACTTGAAGCCGCTGAGGGAGAAGGTGGGGCAATAAGTAAATTCATCCAGGCTTTTGAGGAACAAATCAGTCGTGTTGAGGTAGCCGATGGTGGGATGCTCAACATTCAGCAGCCAAATGTAGCCGTACAGGTGATTTTAATGTTATAATAATTAGGGCTTTGAACACATAATTTGATTTGATCAAGAAACTTAATGTCAAAGTTGATGTCATAAGTAATGTAATTTCTTGCATGGATTAAAACAAAAACAACAACAAGAACAAAGTCGAAACTGCCATCCATCCATTTGTGGTCTCCAAACCAACAAGGCGCAAATTTTAATTTTTTGCGTGAAAAATCTACCAAACAACACCATAATTTTGTGCATTTATGTGTGCGGGATACATCACATCACAGATTCGTCTGTGCATGGGCAGATGCTTATTGCCTCATTTTTAATCTTCGTCATCAATGACAATAATTAAAAATAAATAATGATAATACTAACAATAACAAATAATTAAACAAACAATAATAGCAATGATAATGATAATAACAACAATAATATTAACAATGGTGTCAATAATACTATAAAAAAAAAATGGATAATGTAAATAGCAATAATTATAATGATTAAAAAGATGATACTACAAATAATGATAGTAATGATTAAGATTATGATATTGATAACAACATACGATTTGCAAGGCGCGAAACCCACTTGAAATCAAACTCAAGGCGCACCTGTGCAAATATGAAATCGCCCATAAGCATCTGCGTTATACAAAAGAAAACAAAGATATACACAAACGTAATAGGGAACGATTATATGTAAGCCAATTCAAATTAATAGGGCCTACTTTTTGTGTATAAATTATGTTTGACCACCTTAACTAATCTGCTATTACGAGTCTTTTGAGGGAGAGCATTCCACATAGAAGATCCCGCCTTTCCCGCGTTTCCTTCCCTTACATGTATTTAGCTTGAAGAACAAGTAATCCTGGGTTTGAGAGCGTAAAGATCTAGAGGTTATTGTACTGTGGGGCAGAGCCATGCGCAAATCGAAATAAAAGCAAATCATATATTTAAGTTCTAATTCAAATAACAGGTCCGAAGTGTACTTGCTGACGACTTGATGCGTGGTCTCGTGCTTTCGCTAGCTGGATCCAGTCTTTCAGACCTGACCAAGTCCAATATTACCATTAATGCTCCAACCCAAGATGACCGCGATGACGTCATTGCTACCAGACCAGACATCATCGCTCAGGTCAACATTCCACCTTCAATTTCATCCGTCATTTCGTCCACGGCCCTACTCTCAGGATCGCCTTCAAATGGCAGTGGTGAATACGTCCGGGTCATCTTCAATGTATTTTCAACTCCAACCCTGTTCATTTCTAAATCATTGCGCACAATTAGTGCAGATAATGAAGGCTTTAATCGATCGGCTAATTCGCCCGTGATCTCTCTCAGTATTGGTCAAGGAAAAGTAGCAGCCTTGACCGAATCCATCAACTTTACCTTCACTACAATAAAGGTAAGGCTTATAACTTTTAAAATAAAATGGCAGAATAGCGTTTTTTCATATAAATTATACGAACTTGTAATCTGCCTTTAGTAGTATTTATAGATAATTAAGTTTGTAGACATACATACCTATTTTGATGAAGATTTTAACAAATGTGTAAAGCCTTTTTTGGGGGGTATAACTCCTGTGTTTGATTCCCCTCATAAACGGGATATTTAACTTTACCAATTCAAATTATTGAACATTCTTCTGTCATGCTTTATCTAACAAATTGATTCTTGGTCTATGCATGTTTTGCTTTTGTTTTTGCTGTTGTATAGTCTGGATACATGAATCCCATGTGTTCATTCTGGGATGAGGTGGAGGAAGATTGGTCCCAGGATGGATGTGTTCTTGTTTCTGGATTCGCATCAACTGATGATGAGCGCTATGATGAGGAAGGCGTGCGCTGTGCGTGTGATCATCTTACCAACTTCGCTGTTATAATGGTCAGTAAAAAGCAATTAGGCAGTTGTTATATCCGTTATCATCGATCAATTTTCCCCGTACAATTATAACCCGACTAACTATGGGCAGTAGGTTACTAGAGATATAGCTTGATAATTCTCTTAATGACAAAGGGGTATAATAGGTCATACGGATTAAATAATTATGGTGTGTGTACTATACCGTGTGGTGGGGCAGTATATCTTACGCCTGGTGTAATGCAAATGGACACGGCTACTGTTTCCAGACTGGTGAAAAAAACACTACCAGGGGGGTGTTTTACAAAGATCCTAAGTAGAACTTAACTCTAAGTTGGACTTAAAAATTATGGACAGCCATTGGAGTCTTAAAATGAAATATATTCAAAAGCAGAAATTCAAGTATTTTCGACTTTTTATAAATTCCACATCCAGAACATGAAATCTCCTTGATGATAGAAAATATGAATGATTTGAATAAACAATTAATGCCTTTCAAAATAACTTTTACAAAATATTTTCAAAGATGCTAATGGCTTTCCATATTTTTTAAGTCCAACTTAGAGATAAGTTCAACTTAGGATCTTTGTGAAACACTCCCCAGGTGTTTAGTGACGAGTGGTCATTATTCGACCTCTAACAGTTCCACTTTTACTCCCGAAGAACTATAAAGTAGACATTTTGTCTTCAATTGGGTATGAATAATAATCTCACTCTTAAGATCAAACAAAGTTGGAAGGTATGGACTCTTGTGTAAAATGTAGTCATGTGAAATCCTTGTCAATCAGTAATATAAAGTTTCACCCCTTTTCATTAAAATAGACCCCCAATTTCTCAGTATTTAATCATGTAGTAGGTCCATGATTTAATTGACGACATGAAAGAGACTTTATGAAAGCTCATTTCAACTAATCAGTTTTATTTGGGCATTCGAAAAAGATGTTTCAGTTTGAGGTCACATTTCTTTCACGTTACAGGATACCCACAGACAGGAGGATTCATTAATTGAGACAAACAACATCCTGACTTACATTGGATGCTGTATTTCTATCTTCAGTCTTCTTGTCACATTGGCAACCTACCTGTGGAACAAGTGAGCTCATTGAAGAAGAAAATGCAATTATTAATGTAATACAAAAGAGACAAAATATTAGATTTTTCTCTTGTCCTTCTATCTTCGATTTTAGAATGGTTACATAAACTATGAAAGAAATAAATAAATAGAGGTAATAAATAGGTTACAATATGCATTTGTAAAAATCATATCATTCGTAGATCAAATCCTCTGCCTCATAGTGTGCAGTCTGTATAGAATAAGAATAATATTCATTTCGAACACCTTTGTCGGACACACGTTTCTCGTTTAACATCGTCGTGAATAATTACACACCCATATTGATTTCATTCAACAGGCTTCGCCATTCTGAGGTTGTGTGCCTTGTAATATCATTAAAGAGATATATAGGTAGAGCACAATCACGAAATCTCCTTCATTTCACTCAATTTTTGCTTTGTTCTTCTTGATCTATTCTTCTGTTGCTGATGAGGTGATGGTAAGCCTTTACATGTATTGATTCGACGTTTTCCTAACCTAATTTTGATGTTACAATCTTGCTAGGGATTTGAGGACCAAACAGCCTAACCAGATCTTCATCTGTCTGTGCCTGACCCTGCTGTGTCTCTACACGACATTTGTCATCATGATCTCTCTGGATTCTATCAGAGGTTATCGTGAGGTCCAAGCTGGACCCTGTGGTTTCCTGACGGCCCTAGTTCACTTCTTCGTTTTGTCCTCCATTGCATGGATGGGTGTGGAAGGGTACAATACCTACATCATCATCATTGTGAAGATTGTTAACACCTACATCCAGAATTTCATGATCAAGGCATCTTTAGCTGCATGGGGTAAGATATTTGTTTCCTTAAACAATTTTTTATTGGAATAGTGCGTACTATAAACATGCAGTTTCTGTATGTTTTACATACAGATAGATCAGAAACCTTCCACCGACTTGTTAGAACATAAAGGTACTGAAAGTATCCATAAAACAATGAGTTCGGCAAGGTGCGACAACCTGCTTTGCTGCGATCATTCATTTATTCAGTCAGTAGAGCGTCCGCCTCACAACCGGGAGGTCGTGGGTTCGAACCCCGGCCGCGTCATACCAAAAGACGTTAAAAGACGGGAGTTGTTGCTACCCTGTTTGGCGTTCAACAATAAGGGAAAGAACAACGCCGATCTGGCTCTGCTCAGTGGCTGCCGGGCTCACGATCAATTGGGCAAAAAGAATTTCCGTTTCGGTTTAATAAAATTTGGAGTGGACTATAAGACTATTATTATTATTATTATTATTATTATTATTATTATTATTATTATTAATGTTAAATGGGCAATCAAAGGAAAATAATTAAAATTAATATAACAAAGGAAATGTGTTTTTTCTCTGTATTTTATTTATCAAAATAATTCCAAAACTCTAGCAGGATATTACATCCATTTAGCCATGCTAACTCGACGGACATTAATTATGGATAGATCACATTAAGGTGGACAATAGTCCAACAGGCATTAACTAATAATGCACATGAATTCGTTCTTTTTACCATTTAAGTGTAATTTCTTCATTAATAATATGAAACGGCACTCGGCATGACATGTGATTTTTACAAAAAAGACTCTAAACCCCAGAGAGTATTATAATCGAGATATCTAATCATTCAACAAAAAAAATTATCATAGTGTCTCCATAACCGTGGGAAGAACTTGTGAGCTGGACAGCACAACGAAACATGATTAGGCCTATCGAAAAACGGGGAAATGAATAAGCTGCCCATGTCTAATGTAGGCGTATTATGAATGACTAAAAAACGTATTTCCTCATACGCGTATGTCTTTTCAGGAATTCCTGCTTTCATCGTGGTTCTTACCGGAGCTATTGCTAGAGGCTCTTATGCTCATGATGATCTGTAAGTGGTAATACTTGAAAGTTTAGCCGTAATATTGGATTGCAAAGCACAGGGTATACCTAATGGTCTTCACATTTCGGATTCAGCAAAATGATCACGTTCTGTAATTTAATCTAGTGTATAGGCATTTGGTATTTTGGTATCTTATGAGTTAGCAAGTATGCAAAAATGATCTAGAACTTGTATTTACGCGAGAAAGCCTCAAGGGGTTACTTCGTGTCGTCCTTTGTCCACAGTGGCGGATCCAGGGGTGCCTTACCCTGGGGAAAACAGGTAAAGACACGTTAATTTTAACTTTATTTGTTTCAAAAAAGAAGATGGGCCCCCTCCCCTGGTGCTAAAGGGGGGGGGGGGGTGGGTTGGGTACGATTTTCACATTTTCGGGGGCAAAAAAAAATAGTGCTCCAAACTCCTATACCCAAGGGTATTCACTTTCGCGGGTATGTGGTACGATCCAAGCTCTCGAAAGACCACTGACTTAATACAGTCTCCACACATACTAAACTCTCAGATGTTGTTGGTAGCGGATGGACAACAAAACTTGGTCTTGCCAAAATAAATAATGGGAAATAATGTACAATGAGAATTCTTCGGTTAAAAAGTTTTAAGGACCATGGACATTTCGTATAACTATTGCTAAGATAGTCAGTATTGCTTGATTTAATTCAGTCTCTTTACACAATGCATATTTACTATCAACAGATGCTTTCTGCAATTCTGGGCTCAAATTGGTGGTCTACTGATTCCCATGTCCATCATTCTCCTTATCAACATTGTCATCTTCATCCTGGTGGTTCGAAAAGTGCTCCGGTCAGCCAATATCGCTGGTCAAGTTGAAAGAGAGGCTACGATAGAACGTCGAGAGACTATCGAACGCGTTCAGAACGCGATCTGCATCTTGTTCCTGCTCAGTCTGACCTGGGTCACCGGATATCTTCTTTTGATCCCATTATTCAGTCAGGTAAAGCCAACTAGCTTAAATAATAACTCCTGAGTGGTATCTATCTCTTCTAAGAAATATCTTAAGAACTCAGTTATGATAATGAAATACACCAGCAATACCTAATTATTATTTCTGAAACATTTGCGTTTAACAGGTGGCTCAGCCGATTTTCGTCGTTCTTAACTCCTTCCAAGGATTTTTCATCTTTCTACTCTACTGCGTCCGGAAGCCTCACATCCGTAAGCAATTGCGGCTAACTTGTTTTGACAAGTTCCTAAAGAAAGAAGCAAGCACTTCCAGCGGTGTGCCTACGAAAGACGACAATTCCGATCCTGTGTGTATGTTCAACCCGACCTATGATGCTAGCCAGGTTGAGGAAAGGGTCACACCACCTATGAACAAAGATATCCAAAGTTCCACCGAGGAACAGAAGAAGGACACGGATCGGGATGCAACAGGCACTGATGTCGGGACGGTAAGTCTCCATATTGATGCATCTGTCACAAAATCCACTAAGAGAGATGATGATGTTTCCTCCATCACGGATGATGAAACCCTCAGTGCTACTGTCGATTCAACTGATGTCAGGAAAGCTACTGAGGGCACCGATGATGTTGCTTCCACCAACAATGATGCTGCTGCAGGTCTCCCTAAGGATGCTGCGGATGGCACCATCCACAATGAGAGGAGTGATGATGATGCTTCTGCATCAAGTGATGCTTCCGTCAATCTTCCAATTGATTCAACGGACGTCAGCAAAGGAAATTAGAGCAGTGACATAGATGCCAGGGGCACTACCGATTTTGCAACGGCCACTTGCTCAGTTAAGGTTTTGACTGTAGCGATGCATTCATTCTTACTGATTAAAAAAATGCTTATTCATGTAAGCCACAAGAAGGTCTTATTAAGAGAGCATGATCTAATATATTGGCATACTAGGCAGGGAAGGGGTGGGCTGGGCATCAGATGACCCGCCCCCCCCCCCCCCCCCTTTCCCTATAATTTTCAATTACAAATATTCCGTTAAAAAAATGTTCGAGTACTGTGTGATCAATTTGTTATGTTATTATCTTTATTGTATTTCACATTTATATGTATGGTAGATTGTCGAAGTAATCATGGTCATAATGATTATTGTGTAATGATACTTTGTGGTGTATTACTCAGAGAAGAGGTCTTTTCATTGTCTTAAAAACTATAATGATGATAATGATGGTACGATGGTTTTATTTTTCAATTCTTCTTAGTCATTTTTAGTCATGACTTAATTTATATCAATATTTCTATTGCGAAACGAAATTTGACAACAAAGGTTGCATAGCTTAAATCGAAGTTCCGAAATGGCTGTCCTTTTTTAAAAACATTTTGGCAAAGGTTGAAAGAATTTTTTCCGTCAGGAATCGATTCGGGTCACTCGCTTAGAACGCTAATGCCTTAACCACTAGACCACAGAGACGGGCCAGTGGCTGCGGCGACACACGGTTTAAATTGACCGACAGATTGCTCAATCTCGAACCTTCATTTATTAATTCTTTTGCTGGGGGCCGCATGACTCAGCTCGAGGCGAATGCCTTTAGATACACGTATAAGTTAGAAAAATTGTAAACAAATGTAAGAAAATAACCTACACAACCGCTTTGGCAAATCTCTTGGAAAGATATATAATCATGTATATGTATATATATGTTTGTGTGTGTGTGTTTGTATATATATATATATGTGTGTATTGAACCATGAACTAAGATCAAGTTCTACAATTAACAGATTTAAATCAATGTACAACAAAGGTATTTTTCAAAGAAAGATATCCATGGTTGAGTAGGTATTTCTCTTTTCCTTCTTTCTTCCACTTGTATTTAATTCGAAACCTTCTTTATGAATGTGTAAATGTTTGGTGCATGGTTTGGTCGGTATGTGCGTGTTTGTTATATGCAAGTCTTTTACTTTTAATTAATTTTGTTCATTATTTTGTTCTTGTTTGTTAAAGGGCCCCGATCACAAGCAAAACTCTGCTTCCTAGGGATCATAATCATTAGATTGTATATTGTCATTTTAAATTGTTTTATAAAGGTTAAAAAAAGATTTAGATTAAATGTTTACATATAATTGTGTGTAGTATGTATATATATATATATATATAAATCCTGCGGCGGTTGACGACATAATATACAGTCAAGTGAAGAATATTATAATGAAAAATCGTAGGATATACAAAATATACAAATTTTCGGCTTTAAACCTTTGTCAAGTAATGACAAATTTATCCAAAACCAGCTTTCTTACAAACTTAAAATATAATCTCTACGGTTGATGCCTCTTTTAATACATGCAGTCCTTGAAGTTACCTTGTTGCTCCATGATTATACTGTTTATATCGTTTCATGAGGTTTTAACTTTTAATATCTTAGTAGAAATTGATTTCACCGGTTTTACTCGGAAAGTGTACTTTATTCTAAAAAAATCGTTGTATTCGTTACTGATTTTGTTAAAGTTTAAACTTCATTGTTCAGGATGTCCCTGAAAAAAAGGAGACATAAATGTTTCATTAAACTACTCAAAATTCGTTGGTTAATCTTCATACAGCTGTATTCAAGGTTAATTGTCTCTAAGCCCTCTACGTTATAACCTACACGAATTGATGAGGAAATATCATGTAATAAACTTACAGGAACGTACATAATGCAAGACATAAAGACAAATTGACATGTGACGACATTAATAATCACAAGAGAAATATCTGTTTCCATTTACTGTGTGCAAAGTAGGTCTTTAGGCTAGCCTTAAAGGTATTCAAATAAAGGACGATAATATCAGGCGTATGAGTATCGATAAATAATATTCCCAAATCATTCGTCTTTTAAAAACAACTATCCTCGACTTGTTTTCTGTCAATGCCCCTTCAGACCGTCTGAAGTCAGCCAACTGTGATTTAATAATCCTATTCTTATTGTCATTATGATTAAAAGGAATATGAGCTTTTCATTGATGTATATGTGAGGTGGTCGAGAACTCGAAATCAATGACAGACAGATCATACATACATGTACATCGCATTTCTCTTTCCTTTTCCATTTGGTAAGCAGAGTAATCCAACTAATCAATAGCCATGAACACGTGAGAGGCTTCCTCAGCTATGATTGGTCAGCGAGAGCTGGAGGGCGAAAGTGTTTCTTTCGTTCTTTTCGTCACCGGCTTCTCGTGGTCACCAACGCCGGACATGCTGATTGGCTGAATGGCCTTTGCGACGGCAGGAGGGCGGGACGTGTTTTGAGACAAGTCTCGTCCCCAGCTGGTCCTAGACACTTCAGTTGATCGAGACAAATGGCACCTGTGAGATGGCCAAGCAAAGAGTCTTTATTAGTAGTAACCAGTAACAGACACATTACATATCACTAATGCCGATAATCATGGAGATCATGCATTCCCATCAAATATTAAACGAGTAAATTTGCCCTTTAAAAACCAATTGCCACAGTACAATGTAGCTGAAACTCTCAACATTAACACAGGTAAATACCTGACCCAAATACTTAAAGGGGAAGTCCACCCTGAAATTAAGTTAGTTTTAATAGGAGTAGAAAAATGAGAGAAACAAGTCAGTGAAAGTTTGAGCAAATTCCGATTAAAAATAAGGAAGCTAGGATTTTTGAAGTTGTGATCAATCAAACACAAATTGGCAACTCTATGACGTATCATGCGAGCTCAACTTTCATTTCCTCAGTACTAAAAAAATCAAAAATTTTCATTTTCCCTCAAGAAAAATTTCAACCATACATGCACCCTAAATATAATAATTGCAAATATGTTTCTATACTCCCCCTGCAAGGAACAAATATATATATTCCGTCATCAATAACGAAGAAAACATGATTTTATGGAATATTATGCACAAAGCAAATGAAGGAGAGCTCGTATAATAAGTCACAGAGTTGCCAATTTGTATTTGATTGATCACAACTTCAATAATTCATAACTTTCTTATTTTCATTCAGAATTTGCTCAAACTTTCACTCACCTGATTTTCTTATTATTCTGCCTCTATCGAAACAAACTTATTTTGGGGGTGGACTTTCCCTTTAAACAACTAGAAGTAACAGTCAATATAAACCTCATATAAAGCAACACATTCATATATTTATCTTCCATACTTTTCTTACTTCCAAACAAACTCCAATAATCTCCTGGTCTAACCCTAAACATTGCTCTTACTCCTATTATTCCATCTCAATTTAACATGTAACAATATTCTTTTATAGCAATCTGCAAAATGAGAAATAAGGTTTACAAGGATAGAGGGCGCTAGAAACCCTCGAATGGCTACATAGTCAAAGTTCGATCATCACTGTTTGAAGTGCCATAATTAATATCCCCTAGCTTAGCAACCAAAATACAAACAACATGCAATACTTTTAAACACTCAACTTCTATTATTAGCACTTCTTTTCTATGCTCCCTACCGTTCTTAATGACCTCATTCCTAAACCAAGACTTATACTCATCACATCAATTAGAGCGTACCCTGGTCCTGGTCCTGGTCCTGGCCCTGGGACCAGGCACGACATTAGCGCGCACGCACTACACCCAATTTTGGTACCGCGTGTTCAACTTATTAGTGTACATAACCATGTACTACAATGTAAATGCATATAACAAATCAAAGCGCTAAGCATCGCACAGTTTAACATTAAATCCTCGTTTCCAATATAATCATATCAACCCACATGATACATCAAAATAACTACTGAAATCGTTCTGACACAATACACATATGTACATAACAAATCTCTAGCATAACAATATTAATATTTACTAAACATAACAGTGGTTCAAGTTTGGTCAACTCACCAGTGAGAGGGCCAAGCAAAGAGTGCCGGCTTGTCTTAGCACTCCGCCCTCTACAGGTCACAGGGTAATTTCCTAACCCTTTACATATACATTAGTGAAAAAAATAATTTGGGATTATCGAGTAACTTACGAATATAAACTTGGGTTTCTATTTTTATGGGCACCCTGTATTGTATCTCCTTTCAATGTTGGATTGCATTGTAAGTTTATAATACAACTGAAACAAAGCAAGTACGTACTGAAACTATATATTGTATTACCGTGTGCGACATGAAATTTGTAAAAGCAAGCTGTTCAATAAAGTAAATAGTGAAATAGATAGGCCTAGTCGGTATTCATACTTCCATTGTTTTTTTTATCGTTTTGAATCAATATTTCATAGGGTGATTAAAATGATGTGATATAAGGCTTCTACGCATTGGGTAAAGTTTGATGTAACGCTTAAATCTGTCTAAGTTTGGGGCGGGTAATTTGTTCTAAATATATATTGAATCCTTGTGGGCTTTTGTTAATGACCGGGTACAAGGCAGATAAAGTGCATATCTCAATGTAGCTGAAGATTCATGTGGATCATAGATTATCAAAATAATGATGGATACACTTATGACCTCGACAAAAAATTGACTTTTGTGAAAGTTCTTCCTTTACCGCGGCGCCAGCCATCCATCAGCAAACTACCCGCATACAATCTTTCTTCCGACTTGGTCTGACAAAATGATCAATGCCGAAGCGTGCGACTTTGAGAATATATCCGGCTTCACAAACGGGTAGACCCAGGTAGGGTTTCCTACTTTTTTCGCGCTCTGATTTCATCAAAGCAATTTATTATTAGAATATCATAATTTGTCCTATCGATTTGTTCTTAATATAATGATTTTTGGTTGTTATAGCCTAGCTTAATATGGTTCATTTTATGCTTCCAAAAAAAAATTGTAGGTCAAGGAAAGTAATTTTGTTTTTAATATTTTTATTTCAATTCATTTATTTATTTAGTTCTGAATACATAATAAAAATCATTAAATATTGAAAGATATATGAAGAGATATAAACTTGTTTAAACAGAATTGCCCGAGGCTCTAAGTTAAACGAAGCTTAATGCCTTGTGACTCCTGACAATTGAACTGAATTGAATTTTGAATTGAATTTATTTTCACCAAACCTGACATAAAAGTGTACAAAATGATACATGTACAATCAAGGAAGTGGAGGGATAACAAAATTATAAATACTTATCTAGGTTATTCCCTCAAATTAAATACAAACAGATAAGAGACATAATATATGGGGTTCCTTATGATGCAGAAGTACAAGGAGAAGAGTAGAATGAAAGGCAAAGACTGAGGAGTGATCGAGTGCGTGTGCATGCGTGTGTGTGCGCGTGCGTGTGTGTGTGTGTATATCTCCAGATTTGTTTTTTTTTGTAATATATAAGTTAATAACATTTACAATTGACATATTATGTTTAGGTACTTATACGTTTATTTTGTTGCTAAGTTATATTATACTTCAAATAAGTTTGTGTTTAATTATGTTTATGTAAAAGCATCAATATTGAACACGTTTATTTGGTGACACGACATTTGCTCCTGCGACAATTGCTCCGGGCTTTATTTCGTCTAAGATGTAGGGTTAGGGTTAGGGTTTCAATAGGGTTTTATGTTAGGTTTAGGGTTAGGTTTAGGGTAGGGTATAGTGTTGAATCCAGGGTTGAAGTTAGCCATTCGATTAGTGTATGAAATTTACAGCGGAGCAATTGTCGCCGGAGCAAATGTCATGGAATCGTTTATTTTATTCAATTGTATGTCATGGTTTGTATTACACATCTGGAGAAATAAAACAAAATTGTTAAAAAAAAAAAAATATGTGTGTATGTGAGTGAGAGAGATTGCGAGAGAGAGAGAGAGGCAGGTAAGAGAGAGAGAGGGAGAGTGAGTGAAGTGAAAATGTATGGCTAATAACTTCTTGATTGTGGTGAAAATCCAGCTTAATTTTTTGAGGCTACATTATATTGACCTATATCTCGTTTAAAGATTATCCAATCCCCTCCTCCCTCTTTCCCAAAAAACATATATCACTGCCATCGCTCCCCTTTCCCCCTTCGCCCCCTTTCTCCCCCTCCCCCCCCCCCCCCCCTCGGGGCCCCGCCCCCACACTGCCTATTGTGGATGTTTTTTTTTTCTTTCTTCTCAACATTTGTTTTCCCAATATTGTTGGTGTCCTCCGCACAATGGAAAGAGTTTGCCCCGCCAATAGAGTTACATACTTTCGTTTATATGTAACTCTCTCCTGATGTTGTTGTTGTTAATTGCTAGCCTTTTTAGTTTTAAGGGCGCGTATCGATCATTTAGTAGTCCACTGCCTTTAGAGTCACAGGTCTTCTCAAAGTTCGGACCGCCGGGAAGGCCCTGTTTTTTGGTTTTTTTGTTTGTTTTTTTTACCCTAAAAGGGCGGGGGGCAGCAACTACACCTCTATTTTTTTTTAATATCACAAACTTATATCTATAAAAGGTGATGTCAAAATCACCATATACAAATTTTGGGCAGATGCACTGAATGTGGGTCGGGTCATATTCATATTTAACTGGGGTATTATATTATTTAAAAAGTCAAAGTCTTTGTATGCTTCAGTGCTTCATTGTTTAAAGTGATCCAATGTATCTAAGCTTTCAGAGGACATAGTTTAAATCGACAGGATAACCCAAAATATTATTTTAAACAGCCTACCAACATCTTGTCTTATTATCCTAGATCTCTATGTTCACTTGTCTATTGCATCATTTCACATGCATAATATGTGTAAGGTGCGTAAAGTTTTTGTCTCGAACAGCACATGGGAACTCCCAGCTTTACTAACCTCAAAGGTTTAGTAAGTACAAAAAAGAAAAAAAAAATGATTAACAACCAAAGATATTGACAGTAGACTTTCATGAAAAAGATGTTCAAGATTGTGTGATCTTAACAAAGAGAATATCATCAATTGTGCATGTAGATAAGCATTTCCTAAGTCCGACTTGACATTGTCACCACTTCTTTTTTATTCAGAAAATCAATGCGAATAATTATGTCATACATTTTCAAAAAGGGCTTTTGACCTATTATAACTGCTCTGAACTTGGTACAATATGATTTTAACAATCATTACAAAAAATGATGTTGCTGCTTAGTCATGCCTGTCAGCTGAGTTAACATGATATACGTTATTCTTTAAAATGTAATATAATTGTAGTGACTTGAACTTTTTTAAGTCACGTCTTGTTTATCAACATTGTAAATACTTTGCATTTTTAGCGAACCTTTCGTTGGTACTTTTGGTTCAGCGAACTTTGATTACAATGACAATCTACAGCTGCACATTCTGAACATTCTTCTGGTTAATTCTATCTGCCGAACCAGCTAGTTAACTCAAATCGGACGGCAGTTTAGTGTTTTAGTACGCTAATTAGTACTTTTTAACGCACGCGGAAAATTCTCTCTCTTTTATTTACTCCTTCTGATCCCGGCCCCCCCCCCCCACTCAGTGTTATTTAGGGTACGCATATGCTCGTACCCTTTTTTTGAAAGCACCCCCTACCTGAGGACTG